TTTATATTATTCAATCAACAGTAGAAGAGAGGATTCTACACATCGCTTCAGGTTCTTTATACTATGAATCTTGTGTTTTAAACATGTATCTAAGTGATGGGCTCTCATTTTTATAATCTGGAGCCTGTTTTCTTTCATTTTCGTTCTTATTCATAACTATAGTACTTATTCATTCGTGGATTGGTTATTATTTTCAAACAAGGTGGTTTTCATCTCATATTGAAAACACATCCCTTTGATTGTGAAAGTTGCCTTTGTGGTTTTCGGGCCTGGATTGCTTTAAGGTATTACTCCAGTTCCAGACTTCATTTGGTCTTATATGTTTACTAGTTCATGTTCATAGTACTAATACTACTATTTAACTAGTAAAAGGCTGGTAGTTTTAACCACTTGGATAAACTACCATGTTTTTTTATATAGTTTTTTACCCTGAGAAAATGCGAGTCACTTTTATTGTGGAATTCATCTTTGTGGTGTTTGGGCCTGGATTGCCTTCAGGTATCACTCCAGTTCCAGACTCCTTTTGGTCTTATTTTATTACTAGTTCATGTTCATAGTATGTATACTACTACTACTTTAACTAGAACAGGCTGGTAGATTTAACCAATTGGATAAACTAATCATGTTTTATAATATCGTTTTTTCCATTGAGAAACTACAAGTCACTTTATTTGTGAAATTAATCTTGGGCTTTTTGGGCCTGGATTGCCTTAAGGTTTCACTCCAGTCCAGACTTCATTTGGTTTTATATTATTACTAGTTCATAGTACTTATACTACTATTTAACTAGTAAAAGGCTGGAAGTTTTTACTAATTGGATAAACTTATCATGTTTTTATGATATAGTTTTTTCCCTTGAGCAACTGCAAGTTTGGCTTAAGACTACTGAAAAGTAATGTTCTTGGACCAAGCGTTGTATGGATCCAACAATTGACTGGTAGACACATGCAGTAGTACTTCGATGACCATGCGGGCCTGATGTCTATGCTGTTGATACTAGAGTTTCAACTCCAAGCCAAGTTTGATCTACAAAGGTTATGCTCCAAGTCAAGAACTGTGTGGATCCAGCACTACATTACTACATAACTACATACTGTAGTGTTCCAATACACCTACATCCATGATGTATGCCTTTGGTAGCTTTAGACAGACCCGGGAGAAAAGCTGACTATTCTTGTCAACCAGTGCTGCCAACTACAAACCTGGATGAATTTAAGGTAACGTTTTTGGACACAGATTTTGGTGGATCTAGCACTACTATACTCTCATACTATACTAGTAGTGCTTCCTTTTGTAGCAGTATCTACGTTCAATGCTGTTCAATGCTGACAGATAGATGTACTATCCATTGAAGATACCACTAGTCTGTCTTTTGCAAGCCTGCGAAGAACATTTAAAAGTTTTGAGTTCCAGGCCAAGAATTTTGTTGATCCAGTGAGTTTCTGAATTCTTCTGGAGTATTCTGTCAATATGCAGCACTAGCTATGATGTTTGCTGTTTACAACCTGGACAGATGGATGTTCTAACCACAATCCAATAGTTTTCAACTACAATGCAGAATACAACAATTGAAGGTTGCATTCCAAGCCAAGGTCTTTGTGGGAACAACACTTAGCAGTGCTTTGATGGCAGTAGAATACTTTCTGTTATGCTATGGCCACTATAGACAATCATAACAGTGATATCCTCATCTTCTTAAAGATGTCTAACAAGTTTACCAACAAATGCTAGCTTGATTCCAACCACCTTTAGATTCATCTCCATACTAATCCTTTATAGATGAGTATGGACCTGTATGCTGTTCTACTTTGTGCTTGATGTGCCACTGTGTCTACTAGGGTAGCTGTGTTACAGTTTTATACAGATGGATAGACCAGTTTTATACAGATGGATAGACTGTCTAGATGCACTAGTTTGTCCTTTGAACAACTTGTTTTGGCCAGATGGAAGATGTCTCTTCTTGCCCAGGTCAGCAGTAATGGTTGATCTGTTCTATGATGAATACTAATTGGTACTACAAAGAAGATGGTTTGACTTATCCTTGTAGTTATCTGGTGACTGTACCAACCTCGACTGGCTCGGTCTACGGAGGTGTCTTGCTCCATGTAACTTTGTTATGGATCCAAAAGACAAGAAGCACTTAGCAGATGTGTAGTGGTATTGTTCTATGTCGTTAAACCATTCTACAAGTTGGCTGAAACGGCTTTATGATCATCGCTGGTCCAGACCTGATGTTTATTCAACTAACATCCAACTCTGAGAGCAGAGACAAGACAAGATGTAGTGTGTACCACCTCACTTTGTATGCAAGACTGGTTCCTTTAGGACCCTGTGCTGTGACTCATGGTAGTTGATTTATCGGCAGTTTCCTAGAATTCCAATGGATGAAAGGATGATGCCTTTGTCTACACTGACAAGAACTACAACAATGGCTTGGATTAACTCATGTATATCTCATCCAAGCTCCAGGTGGGTCTACAACTTCAAGAACTATATACAACTTTAAGTACTCTGCAACTTGTTACCAACTCAGTATTGCACTGTAGTCTGGTGATTGGAAGTAGCACTGGGTGGACTTGGTTTGTCTTTATCTTGTACACAGCCATTCCTTGTCTATCCAGTTCTTGTGTAAGTGGAACTGTTTTGCAGAAGGGTTCAACTCAACCAGCTTGTGACCTGGACCTTTGAAGAACTACAAGGTTGCCTCGTTTGGTTAAACCGCCCATCCGTGGCTAACCAGTTCTATTCATAGGAGTTATTTGCAACCCTTAGATGGGTAAGGATACTCACTGTAAAAGGACATACAGTCTCCCAGATGTGTAGCTGAACTGTTTTGCAGAAGGGTTCAACTCAACTAGCTTGAGACCTGGACCCTTGAAGAACTGCAAGGTTGCCTCGTTTGGTTAAACGGCCCATCCTTGGTTAACCAGTCTCTATTCATAGGAGTTGGTCATTACCCTTAGATGGCTAAGACTGCTCACTATGATAGGACAATAACAGTTATACAGATGTGTCACAGCCTCTGCCTTACAATGGATGACGGTGGCTGTTCTACTAGCGATCACTATGGTTTGTGAGATCAGAGTACTTTTTGGTAATATGAATTATAAGTACTGGTGTATATATATTTATTATACTTTTGGCTTAATCGGGGTCCCACCTCCTTTACTTTTGATTCAGCATATGTCATGGAATAGGTTGGATTGTATGTAATTGAGAAATTTTACAAGTAAATTTTCTATTAATTACAATACAAACCTATTCCATGACCATAGGCCCACCCGGCCTCCCCGCAGTATTTTTAAGTTTTACTGCGTACAATTATGAAGATATAGCATATAAAGGGGTGTTAGGTCAGTTGACCTAGAGGGATTCAGGTTATCCTGTTGTTTTTGGACTTGCCCATTTTTCCAAATTAGGGGTATTAGCATATGTCATGGAATAGGTTTGTATTGTAATTAATAGAAAATTTACTTGTAAAATTTCTCATTTCTATGTTGTGACATGGTCTGTCATGTTATCTGGCTCAAATTATCGAACTTTGGCTGAAGCTTACTGGTAAAACCTACTGGTATTTAATTGACTTACAGTAGTATACATAGCCTAGCCATGGTAATTGACAGCTTTCAATTAAAAATGTATAAATCAAATTTCAGATAAAGGACTTGTAAAAACTAATACTCATTTCAATTTGTTTTGTATTTCAGACTTAAATGAATGTGTTCTACCAGCAAGCCATGTGCAAAGGAACAAATGTGACCAGGAATGTGTTAATATGCCTGGTAGTTATGCATGTAGCTGCAAGCCTGGCTGGCAGTTGGATTATGATGGCATATCTTGTATAGGTACATGTATATGTTAGTTATTATTGTAAAGGTACATGTATGTGTAATTATTGTAAAGGTACATTCATAAAATTATTGTATAGGTACTTGGTATATGTGTAATTATTGAAGCATTATGTATAATAAATGTATAGGTACCAGGGAAGATCCAAAAGTTTCCGGCCTAACATAGTTCTAGTTGATGGATTTTCAAAATGATAGTGTCATTTTTCAATGTAGTCTCCCTGTACTTCGATGCACTTGGCCCATCTTCTTGGCAGCATCTCAAGTCCAGTTCTGAAGAAATCAGGAGCATGACCCTCCAACCACTGGTTAACAGCTATCTTGACCTCATCATCATCATCAAAGTGTTGCCCTCGTAGAGATTTTTTGAGTTTCCCAAATAGGTAATAGTCACTGGGTGCTTGATCTGGAGAATAGGATGCGTGCGGTAATAATTCCAGATGGCATTCTTCCGCTGCATCACGAGCAACTTGGCTTGTGTGAAAGGTGCATTGTCCTGTTAATGCAAAACTCCAGTTTTCTCCATTGTGATCACTGATGTGCAGCCACTGTGACCTGACCTCATTATGAATATTCTCAAAATGAGGCTGTGACCCCTAGAGGTTAATCATATGCATAAATTATGTTCATACATAAGCAACATTTGAACTGAAAAGAATGGTTGCTCTCAGACATCGGGAACTATGTTAGGCTGCAAACTTTTGGATCTTCCCTCGTACATGTATATGTGATACTCCCTAGATCTGCTTGTTATGAATCAATAGACAAATAACAATACGTTTTGGATGTAAATAATATTATAATATATTTATTAAATATCTGTACTTATTGTATATGTATGTATAATCATTGCTTCCTATTATCACAGCTATGTGTCACAGTGTCACATCTACATGTGTAGGTTTCTTGTGTCACATCTGCACTCTAGTGTGATATCAAGCTTTTATGTGTCACATCTAGGTTCTTAGTGTCACCTCTAGTTTTCTTGTGTGACACCAATCTTTTATGTGTCACATCTAGTTTCTTGTGTCACATCTAGCTTGTTTCTTGTGTCACATCTAGTTCTGTTGTGTCACAATGACTTTCTTGTAACTCTAGATTCCCCAGAGTGTATGAATGATGAGTTAAACACATGTGACAAGCAACATGGTTCATGTCAAGACAAGCCTGATGGCAGCTACACTTGTTTCTGTGATCCTGGATACTCTATGCTTGAAGACAATACATGTATTGGTGAGTTCACTTTTGAATACAATCTTTGGGAGTTGTTAGCTAGGGGGTTGTAGTGGTGACCCCTAGTGTATGAAAATAATATCTGCACTATCAGTTAACTGCACTATTGAATCAAATCTTGAAGGTTTGAATATATTGAGCAGCTGGCTTCAATTTAATTTACAGCAAGATTATTTTGTACAAACATGTATATTTTATATATAGTATTATACATACTATATTTCAGACACAGACGAGTGTGTGTCCTCCAATGGTGGCTGTAAACGTAAATGTGTGAACACTGTCGGAAGCTATTACTGCGATTGTGGGCCTGGGTATATGTTAGACCCTGCCACCCCTGGAGATTGTATACAAATTGACCAATGCCAACTAGAGCCAGAGTGTCAACAGGCCGACCAATGTAGCAACCAGCCAGGTCACAACTATACTTGTAATTGTAGGGATGGTTTTGTATTGGATGAAAATGCAAGAACATGCTCAGGTTGGTGAAAAAGATAAGGTAGATAAAACCAGAAAGATAATTGCTAAATCTATCACAGCAGTAAGACTCAATCATATCACAAATATATATCTAATTATCTTGTTAATTAGATGATGTTTATCATCTTGTGTTATTCAGCTGAGGACAAATGTTTGTTGAATGAGTGTGACCCAGTGCTAGGTTCATGCGCCCTGATCAATTTCTTGGAGAGATGTTTCTGTCCAAATGGCTACCAGGTTGACCCAGTGACCTTCAACTGCACAGACCATGATGAGTGCATAATGGGGATTCACCAATGTGGTCCCAATGCACAGTGCAGGAACACTGAGGGGGACTATGCTTGTGACTGCCAGAGAGGCTACACTTTGAAACCATTTAGTAAAAGAGAGTGCATAGGTATTAAAATACATTATTTGTTAAGATTCACTCTACTTTTGTGTCATAAGTTTCACTTATTTACATAATTACCCTGTTTATTGGTTGTGTTGCAAAACATCGCATTTCAATAATTACAAGAATCAGACCAGGAATATTGTGTGTACACACTCATAAACTACTGTTTCACTACAGATATTGATGAGTGCCTGTTGAACCATAGATGTGGGCAGCTGTGTGTTAATACACCTGGTGGTTACCTGTGCAGTTGTGAGGATGGATACTACCTCTCATCCAATGGAAGGTCATGTAAAGGTACTGTAAGCCTGCAGTATACCAATGATATATACACTGTTTATTATACGAAGCAGTATTATAATTTCCTTTGGGTCCAAGGGATATACATGTATCAGGCAAGGAATGTTATTCATTTTCACTCAAGCATATGGTGTTAATTGATCAGGATGAATTTATAATTTTATTTCATCATTCGCTGTGATTCTAGGTAATTCATCATTTTGTTTATTTTTGTGTCCGGGTCATAATTCAAATACTGGTTGATAGATTTAGTTCAAATTTTATAGGTTATGCCTTATCCTCAATATAGGGACCTCTGCTTGAAAATGAATTTTTGATATGGCCGCTCAATTTAAAATGGCTGCTATTTTTGCAAAAATGTTATCTTTGATAACTCAAATGCCAGTTGGTGTATTAGGTTTAAGATATGCCGGTGACTTATGGACATAGAAGCTCTGCGTAGGAATAAATTTTCAAGATGGGCACTGATTTTCAGAATGGCGGACATTTTTCAAAAAATGATTGTAGTTAGCTTATTTATAATAACTTATACCATTTAGGGATTTTGGTACAAATTTTATAGGCTAATGGTCTCTGTTTAAGGAGGCACTTTATGGCCTCTCATTTCAAAGTTGCCACCATTTTTAATAGAAATGTAATCTTTGATTTCATCAAATACCAGTTGACAGATTTGGTTCAAATTTTACATGCTGATGCTAAAGGGACATAGGACTCTGCTCAAGAAATAAATTTTCAAGATGGCTGCTGAATTCATAATGGTTGCCATTTTTCACTAATATCGAAAATAGGATTCTAGAGGCTTATGCCATTTGGGTGTAACACCTCTGCTTGAGAAGAATTTTTCAATATGACCACTCAATTCAAAATGGCCACCATTTTTCCTAAAAAACTGAAATAGCTTTTCTCAACTTGCAGCTACAAAAATGCGGTTTTCTCTATTGTAAGCCCACCGTAGAGTTCTTGCGATAGCCATTATAAAATAAATGTTAGATAACTGCTAACGGTCATAGATAACGAAATAAAACTAACTGATCAATCAAATTGGCCCCCACGTGATTAGTAACGTCATATACAAATTATAGCTTTGGTTTATTGGTTCCATAGTAATCACAACGTCACGGCAACCATAGGATTGTTGTGTAAACAAATAACAAAACATTTTGGCATTATGACGTCATGATCTAATGGACCAAAACAGTCCACGTGGGGGCCAGTGAGAGATCACGTGGGGGCCAATAACGTCACAACCAATTCGAATATTGCTTATTAAGCAGCTATAACGATCGTTAGAGTGAAATAGTTTTCACACTACTGATTAGAAAACATGTCCAAATACATCTATCAAAAAATTATATTGATTCCTTTGGGTTAAAAATACCATTTCATATCTGCTTTAATAAGCCACATACATAAGATATAATATTTCAACCAAAAAGCTGCAATATATTTCACTTCATTTGTAGATATTAATGAGTGTGCCCCAGGCCAGGAGAATGACTGTGCCACAGAGGCAACATGTAGCAACATCCGTGGTTCATACCAGTGTACATGCAATCCAGGTTTCCATGGAGATGGCTACGTATGTAGAGGTATGTTTGTATCTGCATCCATTGGAAAAGAAAAAGTAGATTGTAAAGTGAAACAAATCTGTACATCCATCGCTTCCAAAAGTGACAAAATATTTTGCAATTTGTATCCTAATTTCCCAAAAATCTAAACATATTGATGATATTATGAAAAGTTTTTTTGTGTTTCAGACTTAGATGAGTGTGCAACAGACAATGGTAACTGTGCTGACCAGTGTATGAATACATATGGGTCTTATTGGTGTAACTGCTTACATGGATACATGTCAGATCCTGAAAATCCAAATTCTTGCATAGGTTTGTTATGTTAAAGTATGGTACATGTATGTTATTTGTGTTCATAGGATTAAATGAAAAAGGGTTAGTATTGAAACATGTCACTCAAAATGTTTTAGAAATGTTTTGTAAAATCACATTTTTTGTATTTGTTTGAACTAAATTTCCATTCTGTGCCAGCCTCATAGCAACACATTAAGTTAAAAGGCCATGTTCATGTTGTCTACAGATTTGATGAGTGTTCATGTTTTCTACATATATTGATGCGTGTTCATGTTTTCTGCAGATGTTGATAAGTGTTCACATTTACTAAATATATTGATGAGTGTTCATGTTTTCTGCAGATGTTGATGAGTGTCAGATGCCGAATAGCCCTTGTGAGCAGCTGTGTGATAATACAGCTGGTTCATATACATGTTCCTGTAAAGACAGCTATGTACTTAGGACAGATGAAGTCTCATGTGCTGGTAGGGTAGTTTTTAAATGCATGTTAATTGTAACCTTTATATCCAAATACCTCTCAATGTGAACACTTTTCTTAGTCCAATTTTGTTATCTCCCATTGATTCACATATTAAGAAAGCCTTGAAATGTGAACACCTGCTAATCTGTACAATTTTCATCATTCCCAGTGGATTTCGGTTTTACTGATATGATACTGTTATGCAGAGTCCTGTGTATTAAGACTCTATCTTTTAGTTTGTCTTCATTACTGTTCCTATTTCTAGATTCCTGCCCAAGAAATAAGAGAAATATAGTTGTTGGAAAATAGTACCAGAACTTGCAAGTATCTGATAGAAGTGAAAAAGAATAATCTTAGTTGAAGATATAATACAGGCTTAGAAAAAGCTTACAATAGAGAAGGCAGTAGAATTAACAGACTTTCAATGTACAAAGATACTTCCAAGCTAACCTATATATGAAATATACAGTAGTGTGTTTTACTTACCTGTTAAGTTGTAGTTACCTACATGGACAACTGAAATGTTCATTTGTTACTTTTCACAGTAAGTTCCCAGTGCGATGATGTTGCCTTGAATTGTGGTTCCCATGCAGTTTGTGTGTCAAGAGGGGACCAGGATTACTGTGAATGTACTAAAGGGTATAAGATGGACCTCCAGAACATGCTCTGTGTTGGTAAGTCAAAGTACCTGTGTGTCCAAGAATCAAAATTAAAATTGTCATGTTGTTTTTTAGTGATAATGTAACTCAATTATCAAAAGTTACGTTAGAACAAAGTTGACATTTTCAGTGATGACTGTTCATTTTTATCTTGTTACAAAGTCATAGTCTCCAACTTTTTTGTGGATGTTGTTCGGCATTTGCCAGTCAGGTCTGTATAGTAACAAATGGCAGGTGATGACATTTTGCATGTTAAAGAGTCGCGCAATCTTTATCCAATCAGCGTTTGCGATGTGTATCGGCTCACATATAAAAGGCGAATCCAACTCCAAATCCATGCAGGGGTGTATGAGGTACTCGAATCGGAAAGAGCTCGTGAAATCTGAATTTACAAGCACATGGTCAATGTTTACACATGTTTGGAGTTATTGAAGAAAATGTGATATGGGGGTGGTTCCGAATTTGAAGTCATTGCTGGAAAATATGATTTTAATACATGAAATTATATCTATAAATACAGCACTTAAAATAACAGTGCACATGAAGTACATGTATGATTGTGTCCAGAAATGTTTGAAACCCTTACGGGAAATTCTGTCCGCATTTTGTCACCATTGCTCTTTCTTCCCACATTCTAGTGCTATTTGAATGAATATATTTATTAATGTATTTCAAACTAAAATATATCACATTTTTTTATAAACCACAAACATTTAGATCATAAAAAAATTATTCAATACTTGAGTGAGCACGATATGCAAGGGTTACTAAGTTGACACAGCAAATGACCAGTTAGTCCATGCACACAGCGTATTCTGCTAATACACATTTGCTAACACCCCTCACTTTCATAGTGAAGTGACTAATTGGTTTATGTTTACGTTTTAATGTGTTTTGTGTTCCTTGTTACAGCAAGGGGGCCAGTAAAGTAGACTTAAACATGTTTGCATGGCAAGTTTTGATCGAATATGTGAGACACTTTAATGCCTTGTTACTTGTTTGAATATTAAAGCGAAAGACAAATCAATTTTTTAAAAATTTATGAGGGGAGAGGGAAGGGGCAAAACATAACAAAATCAACTTTGTTATTCCAAACTGTAGATAATCGGACACCATCTTATCCAGCTCTACCGTGTGTTTCTTGCTACGCATAGTGTTGTCAATTTGCTGTGGTACCCAGATGTCAATGTTAACAGTTGAATTTATTCACTATTTTCACACCACTATGGTTGAGGTCAAATATAGGCAAGATATTCATAGAATTTTAAAATTTAAATCAAGTGGTGCTGAACGTTTTGATCAACCCTCGTACATTAACAGAGTAATGTTGACATTGCAGATATTGATGAGTGTACAGAATCCACCAGTATACAAACAATAGAAGCAGAAGAAAACAATGGCAACATCACAAAGACCACTGTCATCAACTATGTACATAACTGCCACACAATAGATGGCAACACATGTCTCAACACCAATGGCGGTTACATGTGTAAATGTGCAGACGGCTTTGGGCAGAATGCAGATGGAATCTCATGTTCTGGTAAGGAATTAACGGTTTTTGTATATGTTCAAGATTTTTAAAAAGTTATCCTATACTTGATTAGAGCATCTCTCCATGAGCTAACTCTAAACTCTGTGGAAAAACTCATTTCAATAAAATGAATGTGATATGCACACTCGCTGTATTTGTAGATATTGATGAGTGTCTGCTTGGTCTAGATGACTGTGAGCCTGGCATTTCCCTTTGTGAGAATACACATGGTTCTTTCAAATGCAACTGTGCAAATGGCTTTTACCTTGATACAGAGATTGGAAAATGTAAAGGTATGTATCTGCAGTAACATTCAATGTGACTGTAGTATAATTTCTCTATCTGTTTTTATTGTGCCTTGCTTTTTGGTTTTTGATGCACAATGAATCAGTTGACATAAAACAATTGGGATAATCAACTGATGTATCAGGGCCTGGGGTAGGCAACTTTTTGACTTGGATAGCTCTACTACAAGAAATTTGCTGCATTTTCTTGTTGTACTTTTGTTTGTTAAGAAGGGCGGGTGGTGACATTTCTTGTCTTAGCATTTGAGATTGATGATTGGTGTGAAATATTCTGGGATGTTTTTAGAATGAAAATCAACACATTTTGTTAAAAACCTCTGAATTTATTTAGGACCTTTATAGAAATCATGTTGTGGTCATTTTCAAATTGCAAGATATTGATCTAATATTTGAATTCATATTTGGCTTCACATTCTATGTTGAGATTGTTGCTTTAAGGATTATCACCAATCCGATCGTAAAATGGCAAATTCTTATGGTATGGTGTAATAAACAATGGTTTTTGGTGCAACCATGTTATTCATTATATTCAGATGTTGATGAGTGTTCAGTTGTGGATGAGAACATTGCCAGCTGTCACAGCAAGGCTGTTTGCAGCAATCTGCCTGGAGGATACCTTTGCAGTTGTCCTGCAGGTTACACTGGCGATGGATTCACATGTTTAGGTATCACTTTTCACTTTGTTAGAATGCTGACTTGTTTAAAAAAAACAATGGTGTGTATGGCTTCTATCGCTCTTTACCCAAATGAATTCCTGACTTTGACAAAACTGAAGTTTTCAAATTAACAACAAAGTGACTCAGAATATGATTTGTTCTTAGAAGGTTGCCTAAAAATAAAGGACGAGTTACAATCGTAAACTTGAATGTGATAGAGAATAGAGATCAAGCGAATAAATCAAGAAAAGCATGTCATGTAATATTCAATTTTTAGATGTCAATGAGTGCCTTAAGAGTGAATGGAATACGTGTGGGGACGTAGAGATATGTCGTAACAAACAGGGATCATACGAGTGCATATGTAAACCTGGATTCAAAAGGAACCTGGTTTCACTCGAATGTGACGGTAGGTCTGAGTTTACATGTCAATGAAATACTTTATTTATTGCATATTTGTCAACCCAATTACAACCCAAACACCTATCATAACTGATCACCTTGAGTTAATGCGATTCAGGAGAAATCTTCTCTCTTTTTTACAGATAATCAGTTTATTTCATAATTGATTTAGATAGCTTGTCAACCTTATTGACATTATAGGCTATGTCTTTTTTACCAAATAATGTTTATGAACAAATGTGTATAAAATGTCATGCTACAGTACAATCTTAATTTAAGCCATAAAACTGGCAAATTGGATAATAATGACTGCTGTTGATTATTCATTGCAGATGTTGATGAGTGTGTTAGTCCCAAATTAAACAGCTGTGAATTGAAGTGTATTAACATGCCTGGTACATTTAGGTGTGATTGCCCACTAGGATTTGCACTGAATGTTACGAATGGACGAACATGCCAGAGTAAGTATATTGAATATGGCATAAACGGTACATGTATTATTGTATCAGGCCATTCCTTTCAATCACTACACTCCTGTTTTATTTGTGTATTGGATTTAACAGACAAGGGATATTTGCATATTCTCATCTCATTAATTTTGAGAATATTACAAAGAAATTGTTCAGAATTTGAATATTTTCTTTAATCAACCTTAGCAGACTAAATGTGGAGAAAAAGATTGGTTTGATTAATTTTTGTTGAATTTGATTTTGTTATATTTAATAAACTAAGCCATGACTGTTCATCATACATGAATTATATGCTTTCTAGTGGCCAGTGATTGTTTCCGCCCAGAGCGCTGTGAGGCCCCTGCATCATGTGTTAGAAGCTTAGTAGGCAGTGAAGAAGTAGATACATGTGTCTGTCCAAAAGGATTGGTTCTAGATGAATCAAGGACATCATGCATTGGTGAGTGCATCAATTGGTTAAATTGATTGAAGAATCAAGTTAACAATCCATTAAAACGTTGCAATACTAATTGATAATTGAACTGAGAATAATCCTCGCCATGTTGCTTCATTATAATTGTGAAAATACATCAATATGCATAAAAACAATATTTGTTCTGTTTTGAGTTTTAAAAATGTATACAGTAAAAAAGGAACAACTATATGAAAGTGGAAGAGTAACAAGTTTGTGAGCTATCTTAAGTAGAGACATAGTTGTCATGCATATTGACTAATTGCTAAGTAATGCACATTAAAAACGCCTCTCTCCAAACATCTCTCCAATCGGAACACCTCTCAATGTGAACACCTTTACAGCCCCATTTTTAATTTTAATATGCACTGCTGATATTGTTATTCTAAACAAGTATTGTTAAAAACTTTGAAATATGAACACCTGCCAATTCGAACACACTTTGGTCGATCCAATTGGGGATCTGATTAGACAGGTTTTACTGTATTTCAACTACCTGTATGTATATACACCTATTATATGTATTATAGATGAAGATGAGTGCAGTGTTGGAGAGCCATGTGGTGTGAACAGTTACTGTGTCAACTCATACCAAAGCTACCAATGTAAATGCTACCAGTATTACCTCCCTGACTTGGATGGACTTGCATGTACAGGTAATCCAAAATGAAATGCTACCAATCTAAATGCTACAAGTATTACCTCCCTGACTTGGATTGACTAGCATGTACAGGTAAACCAAAATGAAATGCTACCAATTAAATGCTACAAGTATTACCTCCCTGACTTGGATTGACTAGCATGTACAGGTAAACCAAAATGAAATGCTACCAATGTAAATGCTACAAGTATTACCTCCCTGACTTGGATTGACTAGCATGTACAGGTAAACCAAAATGAAATGCTACCAATGTAAATGCTACAAGTATTACCTCCCTGACTTGGATTGACTAGCATGTACAGGTAAACCAAAATGAAATGCTACCAATGTAAATGCTACAAGTATTACCTCCCTGACTTGGATTGACTAGCATGTACAGGTAAACCAAAATGAAATGCTACCAATGTAAATGCTACCAGTATTACCTCCCTGACTTGGATGGACTTGCATGTACAGGTAATCCAAAATGAAATGCTACCAATCTAAATGCTACAAGTATTACCTCCCTGACTTGGATTGACTAGCATGTACAGGTAAACCAAAATGAAATGCTACCAATTAAATGCTACAAGTATTACCTCCCTGACTTGGATTGACTAGCATGTACAGGTAAACCAAAATGAAATGCTACCAATGTAAATGCTACAAGTATTACCTCCCTGACTTGGATTGACTAGCATGTACAGGTAAACCAAAATGAAATGCTACCAATGTAAATGCTACAAGTATTACCTCCCTGACTTGGATTGACTAGCATGTACAGGTAAACCAAAATGAAATGCTACCAATGTAAATGCTACAAGTATTACCTCCCTGACTTGGATTGACTAGCATGTACAGGTAAACCAAAATGAAATGCTACCAAAGTAAATGCTACAAGTATTACCTCCCTGACTTGGATGGACTAGCATGTACAGGTAAACCAAAATGAAATGCTACCAATGTAAATGCTACAAGTGATTCAAAGGAGATATTTCTGCATCAAATTGCTCTGTACTTTATAATCTCCAGAATTCACATGTAATTGTGTTGTTGTTTCAGAATCCAATGGTAACTGGGGAACTTGGAGTATTTGGGGATCATGTTCTCGTGTTTGCCATGGACGTAGGACCCGCACTCGCACCTGCTCTAGTCCTTACCCCACCCTTGGGAGAACTTGCACCTCTGCCGCTACAGAGCAGCATATCATGTGTAACTACTTGAGGGACTCCTGTTCTAGTAAGTACAGCAATTCTAGAGCTAGCTTTAACTATTTATAGAATCTTTTACAGAACAAATCAATATGAAAAGTTCAAATACTGTGTTAAGATGTGTTCTACAACAATGATGATGTATTAAGAATGAGGATGTTCAAAAAATAAAAATAAAAACTGTAATCATCTTAAGGGCCGGATAATCATCTTAAGGGCCGGCTAGTCATGTTTACTAATTGAAAGTTACTGAGATTTACCAAGAAAAATTTGTTGTCAAAATATATGATTTTTGGGTTGTGTTAATTATTTTGCAAAGTTTCAAATTTTGATAACCCTAATAATAGTCCTGAATATCTTTCCATTTCAAAACTGGATATTGTTTTTGTGAAAATTATTTTCGGATTTTCCATAAATATTTTTTGTTTTCAAATGTTATTTTGCCTTGTTTAGGTTTACCAGAAGAAGTTGATAATGGTGTAATGATGACCTTGCCCAATTTTCTAGATATAAGAAAAGTAAGTTACTAATTTTTGTTCTTAATTTACCAAAGTTAGCTCTTAAAATACTGCATTACACAAAGATAGAATTGTTTATTAAGATTGCTAAAGATTGCTATTGTCCTACTATTGTAAAATCTTGCTGTTTTTGAAAAATGGAAGCAGATAAGGGAACTCGAAAAGTTAAAGAATAATTTTGTTATATATGTAAATACTATACACATGTGTCCCCACTTGTATCATTAATTTTTTCTACAGTGGGAAGGTGTAGAAGCAAGCATATTCAATGGTATCTGCAATGGAGCTAATATGTTTTGTAGCAAGAATGCTAACAACTATGCCAAGTGCTGTGGGAAGCCTTTTAGGTGAGTTTCAATCATAAATGTATGAGGTGGGCAAGAATATGTAGTTCCTTTAGGTTTTAAGTACATGTATCTCAGTTTAGTTTGAACCATAAAGGGTGGCTCCAGAAGCATTGAGCACAGCCCCAAATAGGAAAATATTTCAGAAAGTAATTTATGATCTTGAACATGGGAATCAATATTTTTAGATTTCCACTTTTCAGGCATATTGTCATTAAACACTTCTCATGTTCAAGTAAAATGTTGTCATAAATATAGTCTTATTAATGTTGAAATTGAATATCAATGATCTTGTTATTTTAGTGCTAGCTACAACATATTTTTTTCTAAAAGAACTGATAAAGGTATATTGGATCAGAATACATACAATGAACTTGCTACATTGAGAATATGAATATGATTTCATGAGACAACTAGTTTTCATTACACACACCACTGGATTTAGTCATAATGGTAATGGCATTGATTTGGTTATAGTGGTAATGGATCTTGATGGTGGTGGCATTGCTGTTTGTAATTGTGATCCCAGCAAAACCACTTGTTGGATTCACTTCAAATTCGTACACATGTTAGAGAGAACGAAATCCTACAGCTGATTAGGTGGCCATCTTGTTTTCCAGGAGTAATTTTAGAAGTTTTTTATCCCATCGAACGAAGTTCGGAAGGATATAGGGAACGCCTCCGTCCGTCCGTCCGTCCGTCCGTACGTACGTCCGTCCGTACGTACGTCTGTCCGTCCGTACGTACGTCTGTCCGTCCGTACGTACGTCCGTCCGTCCGTCCGTCCGGGCAATAACTCAAATACCGTTGGCCCGATTTTATTCATATTTTGTATACATATACCCTATGGGGGTAGAAGTTCTGCTCGAAAGTCGATTTTCAAAATGGCCGCTCATTTAAAAATGGCGGCCATTTTAGTGCCGATTTTACAGTAATTTAGGTGCAATATGTAAAACTGTAATAGCAATATGTTTTAAATGTAAAAAAAATTATATAGGACATTAATAAAGCTAGAAATGTAGATATTATAAAAGCACATGGCAGCCATCTTGAAAAATGGCGCCCTTTTCTCATTATTTTACGATTTTTGCTGTAACTCGAAAAGTAGTGGAGCGATTTTGTTCATATTTGGTATGTGAATACTATAAGCATGGCACACTGTCTAATGACACTTTTGGTAGAAGGTGGCCATTTTGAAAAATGGCGGACATTTTGAAAAATGGCCGCCATTTTAAGTTATTTTACTAAAACTCGAAAAGTAGTGGAGCGATTTTGTTCATATTTGGTATGTGAATACGTATAAGCATGGCACACTGTCTAATGACACTCTTGGTAGAGGGCGGTCATTTTTCAAAATGGCCGCCATTTTAACGTATTTTACTTTAACTCGAAAAGTAGTGGAGCGATTTTGTTCATATTCTGTATGTGAATACTGTAAGCATGGCACACTGTCTAATGACACTTTTGGTAGAAGGCGGCCATTTTGAAAAATGGTGGACATTTTGAAAAATGGCTGCCATTTTAACTTATTTTACTATAACTCGAAAAGTAGTGGAGCGATTTTGTTCATATTTGGTACGTGAATACGTATAAGCATGGCACACTGTCTAATGACACTTTTGGTAAAAGGCGGCCATTTTTCAAAATGGCCACCATTTTAACGTATTTTACTATAACTCGAAAAGTAGCGGAGCGATTTTGTTCATATTTGGTATGTGAATACTATAAGCATGGCACACTGTCTAATGAGACTTTTAGTAGAAAGCGGCCATTTTTCAAAATGGCCACCATTTTAACGTATTTTACTATAACTCGAAAAGTAGCAGAGCGATTTTGTTCATATTTGGTATGTGAATATTATAACCATGGCACACTGTCTAATGACACTTTTGGTAGAAGGTGCCCCTTTTGAAAAATGTTCGATGGGATTCGCTACGCTTTGGCGTTGCCGTTGTTCTGGTTGATAAATCTTGTCATCATGATTCCAGTAAAATCACCTGTTAGATTTTTTTTAATTTGTACACATGTTAGAGAGTACTAAGTTCTTCAGTACATTGATTTTTGGGTGACCTTGTTTTTAGCAGTCATTTTAGTTGTTTTTTTTGAGATTTCAAGAAAATCGGCTCATCACTTTTCTTAATATTAACTCCCTACTCAGAGGTACTCTACGGTGTGATTTCATTAATTGTTTATTTCTAGTGGAATAATGCCCCAGGAGCCATATTGTAGTAGCGGGGATGTGGAACTGGCTAGAGGATACCCCAGGGACACTAACCAAACAAGTGGCATAAGGTATGACACTGAGTTGATGTTTTGCATTGAATTTGTAGTGTAATTCCTTTCATATAATGATTGGGACATGACCTCTTTAGTTTCAATTCACCATCGTGGTAATCCACGCCCTCTCCATCTCTATCCTTTAGGATGTGATGCAACAGAGAGAGATGCCACGAGTATCAGAATGTCACTTCACCCATATTCATCATTCTCAAACAAATCTCCCTCTTGATTTTATAACCCGGAATCAGAGTTTAATATCACAATAATATTTTCAATGAATTTTGTTGTAATGGTTCCTGGAAAAACACTCGTTGGATTTTTCTCAAATTCATGTACTGTACATGTTAGATACAAAGTTCTAAAGTGGGTCAATAACTTTTGTAAAATTGTGAAATTATTTTGAAACTTACTTTTAACTTGTGTCTTCTAGTCCCTTTAACCCAGGAGTATATTTGTCTGGGTCATAATTAAATTAATTGCACCACTTATTCAGATAAATAAATAATTCGCTGATAAATATTAGGTCATACATCAGTGCTCTATAGTGTGCTACCAGCTCCCTTATTAGAGGCCCTGGAAATTTCATAACTTCTTATTGTTAATATGTTTCTTGTTACATCATGATTGTCTCACATTCATGTCATCAGCTAGATTAAAAGTAGCAATTAATCAGGCTCTCCTACAATTTCAATTTGTAGATTTACCTAATTTGGTGTATATTAAGAAATAATATATTATACTATCTAATTTCTGGTCATCACCATATAATTAATGTATTATGCTTTCTCAAATCAATTAGGTATATTTATTTTAATGTTATTTTTAGATTAAAAGTAGCAATTAATCAGGCTCTTCTACAATTCCAATTTGTAGATTACCTAATTTGTTGTGTGGATAAATATTATGATGTAACGGATATTAATGTTATTCATTATACATGTATAAGAAGTTATCATGATAAAAAAACAAACAAAAAACTGAAGCCTTTTGTTTTGGAAACAGAGCCTTGGTTTATTGATTGTGGGAATTAGGAGTCTACCCTTTTCCAGGCCTGTAGCCAGGGGGAGGGTTCGAAATTATTTCAAAATCATGCAATTTTTCAAAATTCTGAGCACTTTTCAAGTGATTTTGGCCATTTTTGGGCCAAAGTTGTCAAAAGTGAACCCCCCTGGAAATTTTTAAAAAGTGAACCCCTCCCCTTGGCAAATCCTGGCTACGGGTCTGTTTTCTTCTACTGGATTAATAATAAGATTGGTAATATAAAGAGCTATAAAATGAGAGATCATCGTGTAATTGTTTCCCCATTCAATTTTCAAATCCACTCAAAGTACACTGTTACTGTTATAACTGTATATCTAAAAGAAATCAACTCTATGTTGTACCTCCCTCCAAAATACTATATCTAGTATAAACAGTAATTTCCAGATTTGTGTATTTATAGAGCGATAGTGACCATGCGTGTGTCCAGTCTAAATCCACTGTGTGGGTCATTAAAGACAAGGGCAAAACGTGAGCTGACCAATGGAGACTATATGGTTCCTCAAGATACACTGATGCTTATCCTACAGTCTGCATCAACCAGGCAACAGATAACTCAGGTAAGATGTTATCCTTTAGTAGGCTATTTATTTGCCAACATGTAGTTCAGGTGACCATTTTTATTGTCGAAAAATGAGGTTTTCAGCTTTTTCGTAATAACCGCATAAGTATTTGAGCTTGGATTTGTACAAGTATTTTATAGTTTAACTATTATGGCATATCATTTATTTATTGTACCACTGAATAATCCCTTTAAGGGCAAATATACAAAAGAAGAGAAAGAAAAACTTACATAGACATAATAACGTACAAGTAGAAAAGTACATAAATACAGATGTATATACTGTATATATATGTAACTGGATCACGTCATTACTGGGTGAGTCTGTCTTGTAGAAATCTACCTACTGAACAAAGTACTCCTTATAGAGAATAATTCATTTACCATGTTTGAAAAGATGCTGCAATATTGCTCCTCAGCATTAATTAAGAAAGTTAGTAAATCCATATCTGATAGCGAGCCGATATTAGGGCATATTTGGTATAAAGCAAGTCTAAATATTTATTTGTGATATGTTTGAGCTCATTACACTTGAGCAAAAAGTGTTCTTCGGTCTCCTGTGCCTTTTTACATAGTTTACAAATTCTGAGTTCGGGTGGAAGATGTGGTCTTTTATATTTACCCACCTCGACTTCAAGCTTGTGACTGCTAATTCTAAGTGATGTTAAATTGCGGCGGGCATCTTTATTCTTAATATGGTCAAGATAATTTTCATAATGAAATGAAAATTTGATTTGTCTATAAAACCTTAATTTGCCATTGGTATCTTTAAGCATGTTTTCAAAGTATTGTTTGTATCTTCTTTAAGCCTAGATTTTAATTTCTTAGTGTTGACATTATGATAATCATGAAAACCTATAAATTTGAGTACTTTTAGCAAGTCATTATACCAAGAAGGCTGATTACTATTGGCCAAAGATTTACTTAGTTTTAGTGTATCTCTTATAAACTTTGAAGAGTGATTTTCTAAGTGATTGACAAATTTAACTTGTTGGGGGATAATATCAACGAATAAAGGTAGTCTCACCAATTCGCCTTTATTTCCCAAGTTACTAGCTTTCTTATGTACACCCAACACAAATCTTAGGAACGACATATGGGTTGACTCAATTTTGATCTTGTCATACGAATTTTCTAGTGCCCATTTAGGATCAGTTTTGATAATTCTATTATTAAGATAGCCGGTTCCCCATATTTCTGCTCCATACATACATATTGGTTTGACAGTTTGGTCAAATATTTTAATTGCCAATTTTGGCATTATATCAGCATTAGACAGTAAAGAGAACAATTTAAACTTTGCTTTGTACGCCTTTTGTTTTATAAACTGGGCCGCTGGTATTAAAGACCCGTTGGAACTGATTTCCATTCCCAGAGAAATGTATCTACTACCATTTTCAAATAGTATATTTCCAATATGAAAAGATTCATTACTTATTTTCCCTGTTTTAGTTATCTTCATGATTTTTGTTTTCTTAATGTTAATAGAGAGATACCACCGTTCGCAGTATTTCTTGAGTTTGTCTAACTTGACTTGCATGTCTTCTTTCGAGGAAGCAATTATAACTAGGTCATCAGCAAAAAGTAATGAACCTATCTTTTCTGAATATAGTAATGGATCAGTTTTCAGACTAAGCTCGTTAACAATATGATCAATGTATAGATTAAAAAGTAAGGGACTTAAAGGGTCGCCTTGTTTCACACCTTTTTCACATTTAAACGTAGGTGAGTAATCACCACAATTATTAAGTCTAATGCACGCGTGTTGATCCGTAAACATCGATTTTATAATATTGTAGAAGTAACCCTTGATTCCATATGTTTGTAACTTATGAAATAGACCATTGTGCCATATACTATCAAATGCTTTGCGCAGATCAACGAAGCATAAATATAAACTTTTATTTTTGTCATCGGATTTAAACTTGTCCATTAACGATTTGAGGATAAACTTATGATCAGTGGTACGTGCTTTCTTAACAAAACCGCCTTGGTTGTCGCTGAGGATTTTCCTATCTTCAACAAATTTATACAATCGTCTATACAGTACTATTGAAAGTAATTTAGATATTGAATCAGATATAAATATACCCCTATTGTTGCTAGGATCAGATCTATCACCTTTTTTGAATATTGGAATTACCACCAACAAATTCCATCTATCTGGGTAGGAATCGCTGATGAATATTTTATTGAATAATGTGCATAGTAAGTTCCCTATCGCAAAATAAGAAGCCTTTAGTATTTCATAGGATATACCATTTAAACCAGGACTTTTGTTGTTTTTTAACATTTTAACCGCTTCAAATATTTCATTTTCTTTTATTGTATAATTTAACTCATTGAATTCTGGCTCAGCTTCCAATATTCTTAAAAGATGTTCATGATCTAGATCATCAGACTCCACCCTTTGAAATAGCTTAGGGAAATGATTGTACCAAGTATCAGGTGTTATATTACTATTCTGATTATTAGAATCTGTAGAACTGGACTCATTTCTAAGCTGTTCAAGTAACGACCAGTATGCTTTTGAATCAGTGTTTGAATACTCATCCAGTTTTGTTAAAATTTGATTTTTTGTTCACATTGTTTTTTTCTTGCAAAGTTTTCTATATTTCTTTAGTGTCATAAAATACTGAGTTCTAATTTCGCAATTATTTGGCATTTTAACTAAACGCGAACCAAGACGTCGTACGTCTTTTTTCAAGGATACGCAATTCTTGTCAAACCATTTTTTACCACAGTTAGTACGCTGATTTCTGCCTACAATTTTTGGCAAAATATGTTGCAAAGATTCAACATGGCCATCATTTATTTTTGAAATATCCCGAAAATTCAGCTTTTTGGTCATTAGTCCATGAGAATTCTAATTCTCTTAAAATAGTACAGGCATATATTTGATAGGTTAACAATAATGCCTACAAGTTTCAACAAAATAGATAGCGAAGATTTAATGTGGCCAACACTTTATTTTCGAAATATCCACTTTTTGCTTTATGAATCTTTAAGTATTGCATCAATTGGTTGCAGGTAACCAATAATGTCTAAAAGTTTTGGCAAATGATTGCCATCACTTTTCCTGTCAAAAAATCACATTTTGGCCCATATTGGTTATAGGTCTAAAATGTTCAATCAGCATGCTTGAAATTATGTATACAGTATGTACCTCATTTTAAGGTTAAACTTTCAATCTTCAGTCTAAACATGGCCTTCGAGGTTCAACAGCGATCTTTTGAAAGCACTTGCACACTTTCAAGTGTGGTATTTCAACTTCAACACCATATTTCAGAGGGATTCCAAGTGTTCTTTGACATCGCTTTTGAGAGGCAATGGAAGTGTCCTTTGACATCATACTTGAAGTGATTATTCTAAGTGTCCTTTGACTTCATATTCTAAATGGCCTAGAAATGGGCCATGTCAGGTTGGTTCAGTGTTTAGATTCCAAACTGATGTTCATTATGTATGTGGCCTCATACCTCTTGTAGATCCAACATAATGGAGTGATACTATGACACTACAACATGTTTTATGAGGAAAAATCATCAAAACTCCATTTATTGGGCCAGATTTTATCATTAGGCCCTATATTGAATGCCAGAGCTGATGAACAATCTTTGAATCTAATTTTTTCCATACTCCATTTTACACCTGATAGATTTTTGTGCTTTATTTGAAATACTTTAATGATGGCATACTTGTACCTGCGAGTTTCATAAACTTGTCATTGATTGGTTGAAAGAACTGTTGGAGTTTTAATACATTTTCTTCACTAACATTAGGATGAACTCTGTGTTTATTACCCTTCATACATCCCCCATTAACTGGCTGAATGGAAGGGTTAATACAATGGAAGCCAATAGTCTCATTGAAATAAAATGTCTCTTTGGTATAAAATTTATTTAAACCTAGGAACTTCTCAATGTCTTGCATGGCTAAAGTAGGCTGATTCAGTAAGAATTTGTTATCAATTATTAAAAATTGATTTATAGGGAAATATTTTAAGTATCTTTCTAGTGATTTGTCATACCTACTTCTGATGATAACCTGCGCTGTTGTATTAACTCGTCCATCTTTGTCAAATATGTAATCTTCATATGATTTATCTTTTGCATACCTTCCATGTGCTTTATTGTGCATATAAGCTGATATCACTCTCCTTACAGGGTCACAAACCAGTAAGATCAGCTTCAATGTAGAGTTCATTCTGTAGAGGTCATAGGGGTCCGCTAAGTCAAAGTATGCAGGGGTTTTCTCAAAGACAGTTTTATTTGGTAACACTTTGGGAAACTCTTCCATATATATTTTCATTTCTTCTTCAAATGGCTGATTGTGATTGATTTGTCTGTCAAAGAAATGAGTCTCATGTTTTTTGCCACTTATCATGCTTGGATGAATTCTTAAGTAAGATTTAAGGGCTGCTGTTCCACACTTCTGAATGCCAATAAGGATAACCCCTGGTAGCTTCTCCACTTTCCCAACAGGTACATCTCCCTCCATATATTTAGGTCGTTTTGTTAAATATTCATTTGTTGCGATGTTTTGATGCTTTTGAGGCTTGTTGGACTTTTCCTGATTCACTACAGGCTTTTTTTGTTTTACACTGAGACCTATCAGTGTTTTAGATTGTTCTTTATTCATTGGTTTCATTAAAGGCTTCAGATCAAAATACTGTCCATTTTCATTTAAATTTTCAAATGAATTTTGGAAGGTTTGATTTTGATATGTCATGAAAATAAATCCACATAGGAATAGTAAGGATATACAGATACAAATAGAAACTCTCGGTTCTATTCTGCTCATTTTGAAGCCATTCTTGTTGTCCTGATTTTTATTTTCTTCCATTTTTACCTCAACTCTCTATTCTTCTTCTTTGTCTTGACAGTTTATTCAATTCTTTTTTTGAGAGTTTATTCCATCATTTTGTCTTTACAGTCTTGACAATATATCTTTGCCCTGACAGTTCTTCCAATTTTTTGTTTTGACAATATATTTAATTATTTTTCTTTTGCAGTTTATTCCAGTTTTAAACAACTGACCCCATCCCTCAATTTAATAATCTTTTTGATTAATGTGTCTGCATTTATAAAACAAGTAATGTAATAATCAATTGGATCGACACAACAGCCTGATATCTCCAAAGGTCAGGGTAGCTACATTTATCATAAATTTGGTGTGAACTGTTAAAACTATATCATATTTCTCCAATATCTCATTTTTTATTATATTTCAATTGTTTCTACTTGAAATGATTACCAGGCATGACTTTAATGCTGAAAAAACATGTTTTCAGATCCTTTTGGTCATAACTCAAAATGTATTCTATTAATTTTCTTGAAATTGTACAGCTACGATCCTTTATTGTATAGGCTAACGCAAGTTTCGAGAAAATACATCTATCTTGCTCAGATTTGAAATGGCTGCCACATTTATTATCAAAATATCACTTTCTGTATGTTATAAATCAAAAAGTATTGCATTGATTTGAATGAAATCATACAGGTACGTGTAGCATAGTGTATAGGTTAACAATTGTGTAGGGAATTTTTGGTGATACGCAATGAAATTAATAATGGACATTGCTTTTATTGTTGAAATATCATGTTTTCATTTCTTTGGTCATAACTCCCAATGGATTCAATGATTTGCTTGAAATTGTACGCACCTTAATTTATAAGTTAACAATAATATCTACAAGTTTTGATAAGATAGATCACATAGATTTAAAGAAGTTAATATTGATTGACAAAATATCACTTTTCGTGCCAAACAATCATGTTTTTGGTTAAGTCTAAAAAATGTTCCGTCAATGTGCTCCAAATTATAGATGTACCTCATTTTAAAGGCTGGTCATTCAATCCTAAGTCTAAACATGGCTTTCATAGGTTCAACAGCTGTCTTTAAATAAATAAATTAATATAAATATCTCTCAAAAGAAAGTACACCATGTGAGCCGTGTACCCATGGTACTATTTATTTAAGTCATTGATGTCTATCATGTTATGCCTTGTAATGTTCAGTTAACCCTTTTCTGTTATTTAGAACCTTGAGAACATTGGAGAAGATGAGCTATCATCCCAGATAACATCCTACACATTGTCTCCAGGCGTCCAAGAAGATAAAAAAGACAACAATGGTGCTGTCTCTACAAATGGACCATCCCCTGTCACTATAGCCATAGCTGTTGCATGTTCCCTGGTTGGGCTTGGACTTTTAGGGATTGCTGTCTGGTACATGATGAAGAGGTGAGTTGACTCAGCTTTCAATTACAATCATAATAAACTAACTGAACTAACTGTATTGTCTCTAATTATTAGTTAAGTAGTTAAGCTTTAGTTAATAATTTCAGTCCTAGTAAAGATGTTGAGCCAAATAGTGAGAACTCCCAACAAGAGATTGTACCTGACAATGATGACATGCACATGGAAGATGAAGAGAGTCATCCATACCTTGATGATAGCCCTAAACAATCCATGGCAATGATTGCCAGTCAGACCCACCTTGGCATTGACCAATATATTGGGAGCCAGAGCGACTTTGCAAGTGAGAGAATTATAGGCAGTCAACAAGATCTGGGAAGCCAGGATGATTTGGAGAGCCTTGGGCGTCATCATGAAGAGCTTAATGGTGAACTTGATACTGGAAGTCAGTTTGAACATGATGTTATTAATAAGAGGGAACATGGGGATGACAAGTGACCAGAAGTAGAAGATACGAGGAAAGGTTATATAGACGCTCATAATCAGAACAGTGATAACCCCAATGGCTTTTAACTAAAATGCTGGAATGACAACAAGATGCCAGCAAAACACTAGAACAACAAGATGAACTTTATACAAAGCAATAATATGCATTATCCTACACTAAGTGTACTAAATGTATAATAACATTAAAAAATAAATTTGATATTTATTGGCAAAATGAATATCCGGAGGATATCGTAACGATATACTCCGGGCGGAGGATATCGTGACGATATACTCCGGAAAACCCAATATGCGGAGGATATTGTGACGATATACTCCGCTTGTTGATTTCCCGCCAAATTGACTCTATTTGGCATGAAATTCATTTTGCAATGATATTATACATTTAGTACACTCCTTGTAAGTGTAGGATAATAAGAACATCCTATGATTTTTTTCAGAATATCATTTTAATCTACTCGGTGATATTGATATATGCACTCGTTCGCTTCGCTCTCTCGTGCAGATATCAATATCACCTCAAAGATAAAAATGATATTCCTCAAAATCATAGGATATCCTATAATTATCCATATGATTTTTTCGTGATATTTCATCGGCTAAAAATGTTCTAAAATTGTTAATTATAGTTTAAGACTAATACGCTTGTAAGACTAATATTTAATGTGGTAATATTTTAATATTTTTGCCATTTAAAATCTCTTAAAAAAGATTTCCATTAATAATTTGCAGATTATGTTAATATTATTGTGTATTGTATCATATTATAAAGCTTTTGGAAATAGAAACAATTTGGATTTGAAAAGGTTCTGACAATAGTTGTATGCATTTAAACATCTTTTAGATGGTATTTTATCTATCGAGTAATGCAAGGGTTTTATTACTCATATAGGTTATTACCAAAATTGACTTATTAATATGTAACGATCTTGAGGTACATAGTACTATGTATATGGCACATGGGACATTTTATTACTACTCTAGGAGGTTGGAAAATTCAACTCTTCTGAGGTGAATACCTGTGTATCTTTTGGAAGGGCTGGTGGAATACCATCTTCAGTGACTGATCCTCAACAGTACAATATATAGCCAGGTATTGAATCGCTCCATGTTCACTGATTTAAAGCAAGGATAATTGACCACAAGGGACACAACTCAATATTTTCCAACAATGAAGATGTCAGAATGTCATTATTTTCTGACCTTATAACTGACTATAAATTCATAATCAACAGTCCAAAAGATTCGAACCAATATCTCTATCGCTGAACGATATGTTTTTCTTCACAAATTTTCTGTGCCATTTTTAATAATGACATATTGGATGAACATCAATAAAACAAATCTAAGCATGAGAAATATCTAAAACAACAGTAAATAGCAATAAAAATCATCAAATGCATATAACTGTATTGTAACATGATCACATTAGTTACAACATGATAAATAAGTATCTTAACTACAAATACTAACTAAACTGAAAGTACAAAAATATATACCAGTCTCAATTGCCAATCAATGAGAACTCATTCGAAATCTACTGATTGCCAACTTATACTTTTTCATGTTTAATTTCAAATATAATTTGTCAAATCATTGTTTGAATTGCACTTATAATAGATAAATGTAGGATAGACAGAACAATATTATACAATCAATCATCAGCAAACATCCAAATCCCAATTTTAATGTCACCACCACAAGCGGTGACCTATTTTTATAGTCTCCAACCTTTTTGTGGATCTTAGTTAGTGTTCAGAAGTTGGCATCTGTAACAAATGACAGGTTGTGACATTTTGCATGTTAATGCCTTTTTATTTGTTTTTGTGTCTTCACACTTCAAATATACAGTAATTGCTTGTTATGAAATTATATTTTATTTCTATATATAGTAATATCAACACAATCCTTCTATATTCTCTCCAATGATGTTTTTATTATGTTTATTTAAAACCTCTCGATTACATTGTAATATGAAAAGATTGTCATAGCTACAAAACAAAAGCATTTGTAGCAGGGACAGAACAAGTCATTAATCTCTCATTTTCCTGATAACTTTTCAATTTCCCATAATGTTTTATGAAATTCCACAGAATAACCTTCAAAGCATCCCCTAATATGCAAAATATTTTATTTTACACAAGAATATCAAGAGGATTCCATCATTATTTACACTTTGGGAGTAAAAAAATATAGCGTAACATTATTTGGGGAATCCCAGTATGTACCCCCTCAATCAATCTTCTGTGGGGTTTTGTTTACAAGTGGCTTTAAATGTTATACATTATACATGGTATTCCAGATTCAATGTGATCGAGTTACACATTGGAAAAACTATTGTTTGTCTTTTACATTATTAATAGCAACTTAATATCTGTAAATGGTATCTTAAGTGGCCTAATACGTAATTACATTTTTTCAATCATTGAGTCGACACCTTTCCGCTCAAAAATGTAATTATGCATTTATTGAATTTTTATCAGCCCACCAGTGGGATATAGTCGTCAAGATGGTGGAATGATTGTTATTGTGGTTTTCATCATTATTATAGCATCCTGCTCTCTGTCATGGTGATTCAAGAAAAAAACATTTGTTGGGTTTTCTTTAATATGCACACATACCAAGGAGGATTACAAGTTCTGCAGTCCATTAACATTGGAGTGGCTACTTGGTGGTGTATTTTGTGTATGCCTGATCTAGCTTTAATTAAAAGTTGCATTTATAGTTGATGGACAATGATAATATCATTATGTTATGTATTTTTAACATCCATAGGTGCACATCCATATATTGATATTTTCACTAAGTAACCATAAATTGTTGTTTGTAAACTTTATAGTGAATAAATGTATAATATGAATACAGTCTTCTGAGACTATTAATAGGCTCATATGGTGATCAATCACAGAAGCAGTTGATCAAATTGGTCATCCTAAATGGTTCTGTCTGAGTTATACCTCCTTAAATATTTTTTATTAGTTTATTTTGTTGGCTCACACAGCAAGCCTGTAGGATCAACTAGGCATTTGTCTGTCTATTCATTTGTCTGTCAAATTTGTCGGGTGGTTCAAATTAAAACTGCTCCAGGCATTCCTTTTAGGTAGTATCTACATTCATTTTATGTCTATATATGGTATCTACATTCATTTTATGCTTATATATAGTATCTATTTCACCTGTCACCGCCATTTCTAAGTCCTCTTGATTTTTTTGACTGAACATTTACATGAATTAAATATCTTCATTTATCATGTAATAAAATGTTATAACAAAATATGTACTATTTTGTAGTATAAATTGCAATCCATGTTGATATTAATTGTGAAGCCAATGCAGTTATAACAGACAACCTGCATCTGTTTTTACATGATTGGAAATTCTCAAAACAAAATAATTATGGAAAAATTGTAGAACGATCAGATGATAGATATCAGAGGTTTCATTAGCAGCAGGCAACAGGCGATTTTCACCGGTTGTTTTCACAAAATCGCCTAGTGACTTTTAGTGGCTTTTCAACTTTTCCATGTTAAATTTTTGATTTCCATTAATTTTGCCTGTTGGTTTCATTTATTTAGCCTGTTGTGAGAATTTCTAGTGAAACCCCTCGATATACTTGAAAACATGATGGCATATATCAGGAAAAAGGGAAAATGCATTTATTCAAAGGTTTTAAAGATATCAATTATGGGTGACCAATATTAAGCTGAAAACAATGGATTGCGTGAGTTTTTCATATGGGAAAATAACATTGGAAATGTTGTCTTCCACTTTATCCCAGATAAATGCATTTGTCCTTTTAGATCAACTTTTTTCTACAATTCAGATTTTCTTGAAAAAATCTAGGTGAAAAATATACTGATGTTTAACAAAACATGTAAAAATTAAAACGATTGACCGTTTGGTTATTTCAAGAAAAAGATTTTAATTTAACATAGGTTTCAATGAGAAAATGTATATTTTAAATTTTTAAAAAAATCAGATTCTCTTTAAAGAAATTGTGATTATTCTGTAGGAAACCACAATTATTTGAAAAAATATATTTATGAAAATTCACCTTCTTGATTTTTTTTTATATACATTTATTTCTATAAATCAATAGATTACATATGTACAAATTGCCATTGTTGACAGGACAACATTATCGACAATTGAAACAATGTTGATAAATAAAAATTTGATATTTAGAAATGTTCAGAGAAGATTTTTTCTTTTTTGTTGTTGTTTGGTTTGCTTGTTCCCCAGTCCCAAGTTATGGTATCAAAATCTAACATTGAAAATTACCATGTCTTTGTATAGCTTGAAAAGTATAGTGAGCAGTGATTTCAATCAGTTTTTTATTTGTTTCAATGTCCAAATTTTTATCTCCATTCAATAGAAAATATGCTTTCCTTTGAATTGAATAAGGTTCAAACTCGCGTAAACAGTTCAAGTCTAATAGTCCTGCAAGAAGAACTTCACATCCATTAAGTAGCAGTGGACACTTGATTAAAAAGTGTTCAGTGGTTTGAAATTTTCACCACATTGACATTTGGGATCTGTTACCGAAACAAAATTATGAGAATAAAAGTGACTGTTCAAAAGTAGACCAGCTCTAAGTCTATTGAATTTGATTTCTATTTGCCTTGCCATACACCTAGTCATTTTCGTAGTTGATACAGAGACAAGGCTCGTGTGCTCTCTCACTGACCTTTTAAACCTTGAAATGGGTTGACCAAACTTTTGTTTACCCGTACTTGCGTTCTCCTGTTTGAAAGATAATATGTCATTAAGGAGATAAAATTGTCATTACATCCGTAGGCTTAAAGTTTTTTTTATAAGTAGATGGTGTGGAACTAGGTTTTTTTTTTTTTTTTTTATTTATTTATAAAAAAATAGATGTACATGGGGTAATATAGTAAATACAAGAGAGCATATTCAAGTGCTAATCACCATTTTGGCATTATAAGCACTCTAGCCAAGCGGGGAAAAAGATGAAGAGGGGTGGAAGGGGGGGGGGGGGTCTGAGCTGGGCTGGGACTGGGGGAAATACAGGGCAGAGGGACAATGTAATTTATATTTGCATGACAAGGCAGGGTACAATAGGTTCTAAGATAGTCTTCTTCAGTCTTGTTCAATATGGGGTAAGCCATCTCTTAATAAAGGTAGAAGTCAGAGTAAAGATTTTTGTGTTTTCATCCTTGCTAAAATTATGATTGCCAAAGGCTAGGTATTCTAAAAGTGTGGATTGGTTAGTGGGGATCAAAGGAGTTTCAGTATAGAGAGTATTGAAAAAGATGGTTCTTGCATTTTCATTCAGAGGGCAGTGAAAAAAGAAGTGTTTTGGAGTTTCGGGTAGACCACAAGAACAATTAGGAGAGCTGATGAAGGTGTAATTGTGGGCAAAGAGTTGAGCCCTGAAGAGCAGGTCTACCCTAAACCTATTAATAAGTGTTTCTTCATTTCTAGAAATATTTAGCATTGAGGTAGGGATTATGTTTATGTCAAGGTTGAGAAGGTGCTTGCGATTGTTGTTCTTAAAGGCAATGAGGGTTTTACTTGTTTGAATATTCTTTGGTACAGATAGCCAATGGGAGATTGCATTTGGTATGCAGGAGTTCAGGTATTTAGTAGTGGCATGGTTGGGTAGCCTAAAGGGGCGAGTATGTCGTAGTTCTCTTTGAGTATCACATCGAAACTTATCAAAAATATCGTTTATGTATGGTGGAGATGTACCTTTACTAACATTGAACATGAAGTTGTTAATTTGGAGTTTTCGTCTAGTTTCTAGGCTTGGCCAATTTAATATGTTAAGAACTTTAGTTGTGCTGGTTCCTGGTAGACAACCTGAACAGATAAGAGCACATTGATAGTAGGCACTATTTAGATATCCAAGTAAATACTTGGAAGATGAGTCAAAAAGAAGTGATCCATTGTCAAAGTGTGGGAGAATGTAGGACTTAAAAAGTGTTTCCAAGTGAGAAGATGTCAGTTTAGATTTGAGGGCTTTAAGGGGATTTGTGAGTTTGGTAATTTTATTTCGAAGACCTAAGATGTGGTCTTTATTTGATAGGAGTTGGTCAAAGACATATCCCAGATGTTTGTGACTTGGTACTCTCTGAATAACTTGGTTGAAAAGGTTTGAGTGATTTATATTTACATTATTGGTTCTGGAACTGTGGAAAATAAGTTCAAAGCTTTTTTCAGGTTTAAATGTTAATTTCCAAGTAAGTGACCAATTTTCAATAGCAAGGAGATTACGAGCAACAGTCTGATCAATATCACTAGGGCTATTTGGGTCAAAGGGGAAATATATTGAGGTGTCGTCAGCATATATGAAACATTTGGAGTCTAGGTTATCAGGTAAGTCATTTATATATACTAGGAACAATATGGGACCAATGATTGAGCCTTGGGGAACGCCACAGTTGATAAAGTGTGGGTCGGATATGTTAGAGGATATGCCAGATATGTTAACCTTTATTCTGCGATCTAGTAAGTAATTTTTGAGTAGTTTGAGTAGCATGCCCCTTATGCCATAAGCTTTTAGTTTGTGTAATAGTAAAGTGTGGGGGACACGGTCAAATGCAGAAGCAATGTCTAAAAAGATAGTTTTTACAGATTTCTTGTTATTTATATTGTCTTGTAGGTAATGTTCAATTGCTGCTAGTTGAGATTGAGTGCTGTGGCCAGGGAGGAAGCCAGATTGGTATTTGAAAAGGAGGTCATTAGAAAGGAGATGTTTTGTTATTCGATTTGCAATGATCTTTTCAAGTAATTTAGAAATAGTACTCAAGAGGGCTATTGGTCTATAGTTGTTAATGTTACATTTATCGTTTTTCTTGAATATAGGACATACATTTGCTAGTTTCCACGTAGATGGGAATACACCTTTGGATAACATGATGTTGAAGAGTGTGGATAGTGGTTGGGCTAGAGTATGAGCTGTGAGTTTTAACATGTGATTAGAAATAAGGTCGGGGCCAGTAGCTTTATGAATGTCCAGGTCTAGGTCAAACTAGGTCAAACGCTGACATGAGATCAAGAAATATGGAACGCACATTTTTCCCATTATTGATGTTCGTATGAAGGTCATAAACAATATGTATAAGTTGATTCACTGTATTATGTTTTGGTAAAAAGCCACTTTGAAATTTGTATAATCAATTATTTTCTAGCAAGTGGAGAAGAAGTCTTTTATGAATGATCCTTTCCAATATTTTAGAAAAACTACATAAGAGGGTCAGTGGTCTATAATTACATATTGTACCTCTTTCCCCTTTCTTAGATATTGGAATGACAGTGCCTTCTTTCCAGATGTCTGGGAAAATATTCTCATCTAAAATCCTATTAAGCAATTGACTGACAGGAAGATAAAGAGAAGAGGCACTATGTTTAATCATTTTATTAGTTATCTCATCAGGTAATCTTGATAAAAATATTAATAACTTTGAATATCATGAATCAGTGGGAAAATATTATTATTTCATTGTGTATAATGACTCATACTACCAAAAATTGTCTTGATAGATCAATATAAGTGTGCCCTATTTTTTTATAACTCATATCTTGTAACCATAACAACAACAAGGATATGTTTCCATATGTATGAACAGGATGAACTCGATTTCATAAATCCTTGAGCGAATGAAAATCTTTGTTTTTATCACTTAGACAAGGTGTGCAATTTTTGTGTCAAGGCTATCATCACCCACTACATTCTAAGGATTTCATTTATGATGTTTTATGGATATTCCATTTTCTACTTGCAGAATCTAGTAATTGCTTACTATTTACTTAGCAAAACTTAATGGACACTAGGAATCACGATTTTCCATTAAACATTCTTAAATAATCTCTTCTTGTCTATAGTTATTGGAATCATAGGATGAAAACAGCATGAGATAAAAGATGTTTTATTTTATCACAGTTCTTCCATTTAATCTAATCATTAAAAAGTACCAATACTCACATTTATTGCATTCTAGAATATATGGAATTATATGCATTCTAGAATTATATGGATAAAGAATGGTTTTTAAGAAGCCCCTTTGGGTGGCTTATACCACTTTTTGGTAGATTTGTGAAAACAAATATGACACCTTGTCGTTAACTGTCACATGTTCTATTCCCAGAGGGGCCACTCTTTTAGATTATGCATTGTGTTTTTTGGTCTTTCCTATATCTATTTGAATTTGTATTATAATTGAATTTAACTGTTGCCATGGTTTTAGCTAGAGACAATTTTCTGGTTAAGTGCAATTGGTAAGGGGAAACATCAAAACAGGAAAATGATAGCATTTTATATTTGTAAACAAACAGAGAAAAACTGATCAATACACCTCGGGGAATAAGTGGGACAATACTTCTAATTTGGTGAGCTTAATGTACTCAGGAATTCAATAGTAATCAGTAGATGAGTGGTGTGTATTGGGAGATTCCTCCCATTAGTGTGTCTCTTAAGTTATGAGTATTATGAAAATGGAACTGATTAGTCCTCTTCAGTAATTCACTTTTAATAACTACCTGTTCTTGGACTAAAGAGTTATCCTACACTTAGTGTACTAAATGTATAATAATAACATTAAAAAATAAATTTGATATATATTGGCAAAATGAATAACAGGAGGATATCGCCACAATAAACACCGGAAACCCAATTTCATGATGATAAACTTTGCTTGTTGATTTCCTGCTAAATCGAACTATTTGACATTAAATTAAATTTTCAATGATATTATATATTATACATTTAGTGCACTTCTAGTAAGAAAAATAATTATCCCATTGATAAATTGATCCTAAATTGATCCATCATTGGTCTGTCTACACGGTGTATAACCCAAACGCTCCTACATGCACGACGGAGCGTTTCATTTACGCGGAAACGCTCCGGAGCGAAATAAAATGGCGGCTAATGAAGACTCCACTATGACCGTAAGTATTGTTTCTCTCGTTTCTCTTACATATCATATGTTTTGGTGAAATATTATGTACCATTCGATGAACAATACGGTGAGCAAAGATCTTATTTATTCAACTTCTGGTGGTAAACTGTTATTTGCTTGATCAAAGCTCCGTAGTGTAGATCGAAGGAATCTGAAGATGACGAATTGACCACAAATTACGAATTAAACTAGTATTTCTATGAAAACGTTAATATTTCTCTTAAAGTAGTAGATCACAAACTCGTATATTCTCATTTCTTAAATTCCCAGTCCAAATCCATTACTTATTCTCAAGAAATCGCTTGTTTGTTACTTTTTTATATCATTTTCAGATTATTAGAGAAGAGTTCCGAATCGAATCTATCTCTCATACACGTGTTGTACTTGTTAGGCAAATTAAGACATCTGAACCTGGTGGTGCTAAACGTGCAACTAGCTGATTTAAGCCTACATTAGATGATGTCATGCCTACATGTGTGCTAGATCATAAAACTATAGAAAAAAACGAAAATTAATATGTGAATGAATCTTTCTTCTTTTGATGCCAAGGGGTTTAATAGATCTTAATTTCTTTCTCTTCCTGAAAAGGAAAGTCAAGCTATATATTTCCTAAACAGATCTAGACTACCGGAGCGTTTCCAGTTCACTTTGTTAACCAGATTGGAGCGTTTCTTGAATATGAGAATGTCATCATTTTTAAGACTGGATTTTCGGTCATCATATCACTATTACGATAATGTATGGTGCGTTGAAGCATTGGAATTTGACTAAAATATACGTTGGTGCTCTAATCTTGGCTCAACTAATCACATGTAACGACAAAATGGGTTTTGACCAGTAGAATGACAAATACGTTTTTGGATTTTGATATCTATACTGCTTCGTACAGCTCTTCCTAATTGCTTCAAACGTCAACAGCCAGCCAAGTACAACATGAATATCACATCCATCGAATGGTATACTCGAAAATATGTAACTCATACCTCTTATTCCCATTATTGGGGAAATCGTCAGACGGCTCATCATTCCCGCCAGCCAGTTTTCCTACTCCGGAGCGTTTCTTTGTTTAATTTCAGTTATGAAACGCTCCGTCGTGCATGTAGGAGCGTTTGGGTTATACACCGTGGTCTATACATCTATACATTTTTTGCTGTTACTTGAAAGACATACATGTAGTTTTAGGGAATTTGTTGACATTGTGCAGGATCACACTGTCTTATGACAATTTTGCTTGTAAATAAATGTGTGAATACATTTTCTTTTGAAAACTTCCTTTTTGAAAAATAGCATCCCTTCATTTTACATTAAAAGTGTGAGACATTGTTTCATATTGCTCAATATGTTGGCTATTTTGAAAAATGGAGGCCATTTTTTATATGTGTTAATAATTATTTTACATTTTACGTTGTAGTTTGAAAAGTGATCGAATGATTTTGTCAATATTTTTTATGTAAATATGTGCAAGAATGACAAAATATCTTGTGGCAATATGTCTTGTGTGCTAATCTGGTACTTATTAAAAGCTTGATGGGATTTGCTACTAGACATCACCATTATATAGCTCCCTTAGGTGTAGGCATCTGCTTTTAGATGACTTATGCTGGCGAATTCAGTCATTAGTAATTGAATATTAATGAATATAATGAAAGAGAAGTGATTCTCGAAATAACTGCCTACGGTGGAATAGATTTCACGACAGTTATATATTTGTGCAATAGATTTTAGTACAGTTAGAAATAAGCTGTAGCATGTGAGCATATTTGCTTTAATAAGCTTGGGAGCATTTGCCATAAATTGACTATTATTACAATAGGATATACTTGATAGACATGTACATACATATAAGCTGTCACTTGGCTTTTATAATCTTGGTAAGTTACAATTTTGAATTTTTGCAATATTTTTGCTTTCATTACAATTGGAATTTATAATAGGTTTAATTGGTTGTGTTGCATAACATACATTCTCTGGATAAACATGAATTTTTACAAACTTCACATCTGATTTTTTTTTACTTTGAATGATTGTTTGAGCCATTCGTCTCATTACTACAGTTTGGTGACACATCTTGTAAATATATTCTTGGTAAATACTGATTAAAAAACAACATGGTATTAATGATATACTGAGATTGTGATTTCAGTGGATAAGACTCAAACTACTTAAAAGATTCAATGTACAGATTCAATGTACACCTAGAATCCAATCATAATTTTTAGAGTAAAGGCAAAGGAAATAACTTTGTAGTTTCAAGTTTTTTGAATGCCTAAAGCAAATAAATAGATATTTCCTCTAGAGTTGCTTAAATATTTTTAAACTAAATAGTAATGGCAATTAAAATTGTCTTATGATTTTATCAAACTTCTGTTTAAATTATGTATTTATATATACTTTATCTGTCAAAATTTGGTGATGAACCCAGAGCAACCAAATGATGTCACAAAATAATTAAATAACGCTAGAAATATTTTTGCTATTTGTTTTACCATATGCTGATGCCCCTATGAACATTGCATATATATTTGAAAAGAGAAATGGTTAAAGTGTAAATTAAAAGATGCTTTGGTGAAATATAGCTTTAATGACAATATATGGTGAAATTGCTTAGATGCAAACAGTATAATCCTTGTAATAATTGATTATTTTTATGTGTATAGTAAAGCCTGTCTAAGTGTAGCATCTTTGGTACCTCTGAAGTGTTCCACTTGGAGGTGTTCCACTAATAGAGGTTCATTTAACATTAAGTCATTTAGTCTTGGAACTTTGAAAGTGTTCCACTAGCATAGGCGTTCCACTTCTAGAGGTGTTCCACTTACATGTTTCACTGTATATTGTTTGTATGTATTTTTATACTGGTTTTATTATCTATTCATATAATTATTGTATTATTGTATGCACCACCATAGTCGTTTTTTCATAATATGCAAGCCAATTTACAGATACTTAAAGCTCTGATATAATTTACTTCATATTTATACAGATGTTACAGGGAATCAATTACTAGAACTGATCAAGTTTTGTGCTACGATCTTGAAGTTAAAAGACGGCTAATGACTTCTTGCTATCATCAGATCTCTCAAATTTCAAATCTCACGTGTCTTAATTGGTATGTAATTCCTGATTACGAGTTATTGTTGGGCAAGGTGTTTTTGCTCTTCCAAGTGTGATATTTTTGACTCTGTATTTTGTTTATGTAGTTTTTGGCCTTTGAGACATAACATGCTTCTTACTTGCATATACATAAAATATAAATTCCTGAAACTGAAATGATTTTTTGGTGTTTGAGTGAAAAATTGTATTACTATCTATTAATTTGAGACTGGTGTACAGTAAAACCTGTGTAGAGTGAACACCTATGGAGCCACAAAAATATGTTCATTTTAGGTAGGTGTTCACTTCAGAGGGGATTTTATAAAGAAGTCATTGGAGCATTTGCTGAGAAGTGTTCACAAGACTCAGGTGTTCACTAGAGAGAGGTGTTCACTTAGACAGGTTTTGCTTGTATGTAAAAAATTGTACTTTGTACTTTGCACTCCAAAGATTGCGATCTCTCACAATGAATGACTGAATATTTCATTGAACCAACACAGACTTTTTATACATAGAGAAAATTGAGTGTCCTTTTTTACCAAATGTCCCATTTAGCTTATTACCCCCTTTTTCGCCTATGATATTCATGCAAGTTTTCTGTTGTTTCCCAATGAAGTGTATACTGTTCAGTTTTGAAAAATGGCTGCCTTTACTCATTATTTTACGATTTTTGCTGTAACTCGAAATTCATATAAAGGTTATGAAAAGACCAATTGTTTATGATACTTTTTTTGTCCAATCGGACAGAGATTTGATCAAACATCGATTTGATCCACATGCTAAACCAATGAGGGAAAAACAAGGGAGAATTTGTTCCCCCGCGAATTGCATCATGGGTAATATTTTATCCATATGAGGAAAAACTTCTGTGTCTCCTTGATTGAAGAGCAAATCATGAATGGGAGAATTAAATGCTGTCATTGAGACTGGGGTGCTTTTTCATCCTGCGAAAAGTTACGAAGGTGTTTTTATTGATTTCCTTGAGCATCTGAAACTTGGCCCCATTTATTGATTTGTTATTATTTCTTTTGTTAGACGTCTGCCTTGATCAGGTTTGTTTTCATTAACTATGAATGACAGTTTGTTTGACTCTATATTCTTATTGAAACTAAAATATCCATTGACCTCTTATAATATCAGGTATGAATAATGAACTAATCATTAAAATCATTGATGTCATTTGAAAAGTTTTCAAGAAACAGAAATTAACAATCGAATTAACAATCCTGTTAATTCTTATAAGTAGAAAATCTAACACATTGGTAGTAGTTGTATGTTATGTACTATTTAATGGTGTATCCTTCTTAGCTTTTTATTTGAACCTAGAAAATGAACGTTTTTGCCATTTACGCCAAATTGTTAACTTTAGGGGATGTGGGGCAGGGTCAAAACTAGGTCAAAAATTTTGAAAAAATATTCTGGGACTTTTTGCTCCAAAAGGAACACCGTTTCACCTAGAGGGAGCTTAATTTTTTTCAAAAAGTGTTATTTTGGACCACCCTAGGAACTATATTGCACTTTATATTTTATCATTCTATATTTTTATTTTATAACATAAAGTCACTCAAGTGATTTTAAGAAGACTGCATGAATTTCATAGCAAGAGAATGATTTATAATTTCAATTTCTGTCATCCTCCAATGCATGGCAAGACATGTGCAGTTGATTACATTTATACAACCAATATTAATTCAATATTATATTGTAAATAATTTCTATTTGGTATCAAACAAAGTACCTAGCTGTTATAGGACATATAATTAGGAAATATTGACAATTAAATTGGATTTTCATTGTTTTGTTAATCTGTTATATCATCTGACCATTATTTACCCTAATTAATGTCAAGTGCTCTGCCCGGTGGTTTTATTTATAGGAAACACCAACAAAGCTATTCAAACAATTCCAATATGATTACAATTATGACAAGTCTGAACAATAAAGTCTAAGTAATTAAAAGGAACATATCAATATCATCAGAAGTACACCACTGTTTTAAGCATTGCATACTCCATTACCTTCTCCATTTCTGTCCTTAGTGAGAAAGATGTTAAGAACATCAGAATATGATGCCACACAATTACCCAAATGCGAGTAGGTAGTTACCAGTTTCACCACCAGGTGGCTGATTCGGGTCAATTAACATGGCAGGTATATAAGAAAGTTCCCTTAAACTTGAATATTATCAATTTAAGCAGCTCAATTTTCATATAACCCTTATGTGTCTGATACTTATACTTATGAAAATATGTCCAGTAAAGCAAAATATTATCTGTCCACTAAAAGAAAAGATATTTCATTTTTTGTGATTTTATAGCATGGGGTCTATGGGGAATCTCCCCGAGCTGGAAGTCACATTTTCGAAGAAAATTAATTTTTCAAAGTTGATAAACACTTTTTAAAACCACATTTCTAGATGTAATTTTACATGTAGATTTCAAATATGATATTACTTTGACTGAATTTTGAATGACGTAATCAAGATTATTTCTACTCGCATCTGGGTTATTGACAAATTTCAATTAAAAATATTTGAAATTGAAAATTATAAAAAAAATTAAAATCTTATCCTTCAGTTTTGATCAGTACTTTTACCATTGTGGTTATAAATGATAAAAAAAGAATACATAAGTACTTATTTGGCATTTAAATTACCCTTATCATTTGCTATTTATGTTGCTAAATCATAGGAACAATGATCTGATGAGTGGTCAGCTATACTTGTAAGAAACATAAATTGTGATAAAATACTCCATCCTCTCATTATAATTGTTTGATAATTTATATAATTTTGCTTGGACCACTTATACTGTCTTCCAGAATTAATTGGCATTATTAAAATTTTCCTGCATTTGAATAAATCATTTTTTTCTTTCAATTTTTGATTTAAAAAAACCTGGGCAGCATATTTTTCAAAAATGATCCCGCTATACAGACAATTACAATGGAGAGGCCTAAACATTCAATCAATGGTCTTATTATGTACATAATAATGAATGCTCTTTTTTGCCAATATAATTACAGTACTATATCTAGTATTATTCATTAACCTTAGCTACATGGTTCCTCATCAATATGTGTTATTGCTTATTCTTGATTTAACATTTGAATCACTTTGAACTGCTTTATTAAACCTAATTGATGCACTTAGTAAAGCTTGCTTTAACATCCTATGGTATAATTGGCTGCTTGTATTCCAATAACACACAACCTTTGATTGCATTATGAAAAATACAATTACCTACACTTAACATATCCCAGTAAATCAAGTTCAAATATGGAATATAAAAAAACCATCTGTCCATTCATCCTTCTGGATGAGAACTCAAATGCTGGTTGACTGAAGCATGTTGGTGGAGAAGTTGTTGAATTTATTGTTAAAACTTTTTGTCTGCAGCTGTTTTTTAACCAAAATTGTTAAGTTGGCACATATGTGTTTCACTCCACATAATGATGATGAATTTGACTATATTTGGACTATTTCATAGAAGAGAAAAGAATCCTTTAATGTTGATTAATTATGCCATAGCGAGTCAGTCATCCCCTATTTATTAGGCTAAATAGGTTAATTGGGGAATGACATACTCTGGAGAGATTGTCATCAATATGTATTTGACAAAGTATGAACTATAATCTGAACTATTTCTTTCAAAAGATATACATATGTACTCTCAACAATTTCATAATCCTGTCACCCTGTCAGTGATAATGATATGACATGATTGACGTCAATCATATATCAGTAAAAAGAAGTTAATCTTTATGTGAAGATAGGGTCTAGGTATAGTTAGAGGTTATTCCCCCTTGTCTTGATGCTGTTTTTCAGTTTGTTCACTCTTTTGATTTTATTGGCAAACATCTATGACTGTGAGGTAATTGCATTTTCATTTCAGGAATTCCAATTTTAAATGTATTTATTAATATTTATAGAGCTTTTTCTGTTTGCAGTTAATAAGTTGCACAGAAGGATGGCACAGCTTGGATAATTCAAACTTTCACTGCTGGTATATAACAGCCAATGCTAACAACCCCACGCCATATTCTTCTTGTCCTGGTGCGTATCAATTTTTTCTATTATTAACTGTCAAACCGTTAGTTAATTATAATTCACACGGTGAGCAATTGTAATCACTCCCTTGTCCATCAGTCTTAGAATCACTGTTGATACAATTCCATTAATTAATATGTTGATATAATTCTTCAATAATTCTCAGTATATAAAAAGGTTCCTAAGACTCGACTGATTCAAAAAATGGCCCATTTGCAAAATGATTGCCAGTTTTATAACTGAAAATTGTGTTTTCAGGTGTTTTTAGTCATAACCCCAAAAGTGCTCCATAATTTTGTTTCAATTTTAAAATAATATCTTGAAGTTTTTGCTTTTGTTTGGTGCGATTTCTACATCTCAGGGTTGCTGTTTTTATTTTTATTATCGTACCTAATAAAGGTACGATATTGTCGTCAGCTTGACGGGCGGCTGGTGGGTGGGCGGCGTCTCACTTTTCATCTTGTCTACAGGTTTCCAGCCAAACCATTGGACAGATTCATCTGAAATTTTCAGGAATATTTCTACGTATCAAAGTTAAGAACTGATTAGTTTTTGGGCATTCTGGGTAAATTTTAAGGTGGCCATTTTGGATTTTCCGTCCTAAAATCTTCACTTTTAAGACTTGTCTACAGGTTTCCAGCCAAACCATTTGACGGATTCATCTGAAATTTTCAGGGATGTTTCTATGTATCAAAGTTAAGAACTGATTAGTTTTTTGGCATTCTGGGTAAAATTTAAGGTGGCCATTTTGGATTTTCCGTCCTAAAATCTTCACTTTCAAGACTTGTCTACAGGTTTCCAGCCAAACCATTTGACGGATTCATTTGAAATTTACAGGGATGTTTCTACATATCAAAGTTAACAACTGATTAGTTTTTTGGCATTCTGGGTTAATTTTAAGGTGGCCATTTTGGATTTTCCGTCCTAAAATCTTCACTTTCAAGACTTGTCTACAGGTTTCCAGCCAAACCATTTGATAGATTCATCTGAAATTTTCAGGGATGTTTCTACGTATCAAAGTTAAGAACTGATTAGTTTTTTGGCATTCTGGGTAAATTTTAAGGTGGCCATTTTGGATTTTCCGTCCTAAATTCTTCACTGTCACACTGCTGTGTTTTAGGTACGATATTGTTCACGTCTGTGCCTTGTTCTATTTTTGTTTGATTTGCTCAGACATTATTAAATTTTTTTTTTGTGTTTCAGGTATCAATATCAGATGGATTGTGCCTCCAAAGTCACCTGTGAAAGCACAAGAATCGTTTAATGTTACGTATGAGCTAATTCTTGGGTCTGCATTTTGGCCATGGGCAGTTACTAACAATATCTTCAACTTCAACAATATCACGTATGTATCCTATGAACTGTTTATCATCATTATAGCACCCTTAGCCTAGGGGATATATTGTATCAGTTTGCCGGATGGATTGGTAGGTGGGCGGATGGACACATCTTGGATTTCCAAGGTATGATGAAAATCAAACTGGGAAACGAGTATGGGATGGACAGGCATAGCGAAATCTTGTTACATATAGTGTATCCCTTTAGAGTTCAATTTAAGTTGAAATTAAGTTCAATGACTTAAATCAGCTTCCATTGCTCATTTATTTTGGTTAACTAATTGATGCTTTCCATGGATTTCCATGGGAATTATTCCTTGGAAAATGCTGGTATTTCATGGAAATTACCATGGAACACCATGTATTTCATGGAAATTTCAGGTATTTCATGGAAAAAACATGGAATTTTGTATTTGATACAGCACAGCTAGTGGGGCCCAAGATTTCTGTGACAACACTGTATGTCCCAGCTCAGTGTCTGCAGCCAACAAAGAGAACTGCTGCATCTATCATGTGAATGTCCACTCCTGCCACAAGAATGATAAGCTGCAGAATGATCTCTGTGGTCCCTGGATCAGTCCAAATGGAACTATATACACACATTCACAAGTCATGGCAGGGCCTAGAGATCGTGGGAATTGGACAAGTGTCATTCCAGGTTTATACACAGAGGGTGAGAATTCGTTGATTGCCCACTTCAAGATTGCCAAGATGCACGTGGCCATAGAGAAGACAGTCACAGTGAACCCAAGAACAGGTGAGTGCAGTGACATAACCATATATGATGAACATGAAACATGATCTTGCAATCCACAATCAGACTCAAGTCTTTTAAGGACTATTTGTATGCAATATTTAGCAATCATTGGGGGTATCACCATTAACACATAACGCGAATCTTCTGAGAATAAAATCTCTCTTTGAGCATTATGTAGTTAAGCATGACTTTAAGGTTGAGCTGTCTAGGGATTGAGTTATCCAGGGGTTGAGTTGTCCAGGGATGACTTATCTAGGGGTTGAGTTGCCCAGGGATGAGTTATCTAGAGTTTGTGGTGTCTAGGGGTTGAGTTGTCCAGGGGTTGAGTTGCCCGTGTTGAGTTGTCCTGTTACCATGACGGGTATTAGCTCTTTGCGCTTCCTTCTTCACAACCTCCTCCATATATTCTTGATCCACTCTTATCTGAGACCCTTTAAGATTCATTTCATCTTCGTAGGTGATGCTCTTACCATCATAAGGATTACTGTGACAGATAATTGGACGAGGACCATTTGCACATTGCCTCTTTGCTCATTATACGATACTTCAACCAAATTGATAATATTGATCTCAATATAAATATCTTATATAAGTAATTTTCTAGATTTCGTGATTGTTTGATGAAAGATCGGATTTCTATTGATTAGGTTTTGTCTCCTGAAATTGAAACAGTTTCAAAACGTATTTAACAATTGGCTCAACGTTTTTTACGACATTGTGTCTTGTTTCAAAGTAAATATTGAGCAAGTATCTGGGATAGCTGAGGTGAAAGGTAGACATTGATTTCCGAAGATCCAAAATAATTATTTTTTAGAATATGTTGTAATATGAGTCAAATTAATGGGATTTTCAAACCAGCTATTGAAATCCTAGATTTTGGAGTGAATGTTTTCCTCCACTTTACAAAAGGCAAGTTTAATAAGGGTCAAGATGACTTAATAACCAAGATACTTGTTGCCTTTCATCTTGGCTTCCATTATTCTTAAAAATAGCTCATAAAAGAAAGTTTAATTGATGCCTTTACAATATAATAACTGATAAACTTCTTTATTTACTTTCTCGTAATTAATCCCATGCTTTTGAAATAACTTTATCCTTCATATGATACAACTCAGAACAAAACAATTATATTTGTAGTTTCATGTCACCACAAATAAGTGGTGATGTATTGTCAAGGCCACCATTTTTATGTAAGCACAAAATGTGGTGACATATTGTTATAGTTTCCAACTTTTTGTGGATGGTGTTGGTATTCTGGGTTTGGAATCTGTAACACGACATCTGTAAAGAATTACATCATCTGTTACAAATGGCGGGTGGTGACATTTTGTATCCTAATGCCTTGTTTGCGACTTACACTGACAGTTGATATTCTGTCTGTTGTCCTGATATTTTTCAGAAAAGGTTTTTTCCAAGGATATTGATTGTGAAAATTATATGTCATTATGAATTAAAAGATATTTAAAAGTTATTTAGGATAAGAATTACATTTTGGCTATATGATTTTCGACTCTGTTGGTGTACAGTTTTTTTAATGTCACCAAGCCCGTCCAAAAGAGAGGAGACCCCCCCTTTCAAAAAAAGAGATTTTAGTTTGGCTCTCAGATATGCTCAGAATGTACTGGACTGGAGAGGGTCTAAATCTCAAATTTTTTCTGAGGGGAGCATGCTCCCAGACCCCCTTATCTTATAGATCACCGTAGATGCCTTGCATGGGTGTGTCGGTGGTGCAATTCATCCGTATGCAAAAGTCGTCCCCTCTTGGGAAATCCTTCGGATGGCCCTGTGTCACCACCATAAGTGGTAACATATTGTTATAGTCTCTTCATGTTAATGCCTTGTCTAGCTATATTAGTTAATGTATGTACTTATAACTGTTTTCTTCAATATACTGGAGATTCTAGTGCATCCTTCAATATATATGGGGATAACACCACAAGATAATTTTGGTATGCACCAGCCACTAAAATCGTATCTAGTGACTCATATGGGATCTTAGAAATAGTATCCATCGGATACAATATTTTCATCACTTTTGAATTTGGCGCCAAATAATCACTTGTCTGCAACAATATAGTTCCAAGATTATGTGCTCACTAAAATAGGTTAAATATTTTCATGCAATCATTTTGTAAAAATAAGTTCAAAGAAAATAAAATGAAAAAATTAGAAAAGAATTAGAAAACAACTTTTAGGTCAAATTATTTAAGTCCATACAAAAGTAGCAATCATAGGATAAAAATGATATCCTATGACTTTCTCAGGCTATCATTTTTATCCAATCTTGGATATCGCCCATCTCTACTCATTCGCTTAGCTCACTAGTAGAGATGGGTGATCTCCACTCATGGATAAAAATGGTATCCCTCAAAAATCATAGGATATCCTCATTATATTTTGACCCATCCATGGAATATTCAGCATATACATAGATCAATGGGAATCAACACAAGGATTAGATATAAATATTATTTCCGGAAATATCTTTTGTCCTTGGGCACTATAATGGCCAGTGGCTATGATGGGTAGGGCAATAACATCAGGTACTTAGTAAATTACTAGAGTGCTCAGTATAACAATAGAGGCATAATTGTGATAACAAATTAATCGACATCATCTCCATTGAGCTGCATTCCCTTTCCAGCGATTTGTCAATGTTATGAATTTGCTACCAAAGAGCAATGAATTTATTGATGAAGGCCATTGGCATTATACAACAATTATCATCCCACTGGACAAGTTTTGGAGCAATATAGAGAAGCCATCCATTTGTCGGTCCACTCACCCATTTGTCTGTTTGTCTGGGTTGGCAATATCTCAAATACTAGTCGACAGCTTTTGTTAAATTTTATAGGCTAATGCCTTATGAATAAAAGACCTCTGCTCAAGAAATAATTTCCAATATGATCAATAAATTCAAATGGCCACCATATTTTTTCTTGAAGATGTAGTCTTTGATAAATGAAATACTGGTTGACAGATTCAGTTCGAGTTAGAACCTCTGCTTTAGAAATAATTTTCAAGATGGCTCTGAATTCAAAATGGCTGCCAGAATGTAATTTCTAATTCTTTTTAATCAGAGGCACTTATCATGTATTACAAGCATTAGATTTTTGCAAGAATATCAGGCACTGATTCCTAAAAACTTCAGATCTTGTAAAGCTAATATAAGATGTTGCTCAGTACACAGGATAATACTAATTCAGCAAAACTGAGAATTCTATATATGATACTCAAAAATGTGATTTGTTTTAAATGTGATTAATTCTATTTTACATACATTATTGATGTTATTTCAGTTAAATTCAATTTACAAATTGTTAATGTTAATACAACCCTTTTAATGTTATTTGATAATTTGTAATTTGGATGTGAGATGCTGAAGTGTGTAAATTAAACCCAAGTTAATAATTCCCGAGTATTGATCAGACTTTCATTTTAGTGTCTGGCATTGAAAAAATGTCATGTCTTTCAATTTACATAGTGGACACCACCAACTATGTGGATGTTCACCTCAAGTAGTAATTGCTCAAGACAATTGAAGTATCACGCCTTTAATTACAATCTACTTAGTCATTCTAATGTTGAGACATGCCGGACCATGACCATAATAAAAATGATTGGATACTTTTGACCAATTTTTCAGCAAAAAAACCAACACCTACAGTGTTAAGTTTTCTAATGTTTGCTTAATAGATAATAGTAAAATTATATCATGACTTTCTTGATTGTTTCTAATATGAATTCAATTATTAGACACAAAGAACTGATTTGTTTCGCAAGGATTTACGGAAGAAAAACACATGGAAGTGTTGGTCTTTCATTAATATTGAATATAATCCACTAACCATGAAATCATTCTGTCAATAAACCTTAAGGTAAATGACTCCAATTGCTACAAACCAAGATCAGGGCTAACTAGAAACCTTGTAATGGAATGTATTATTATAGATTATACCTTGAAGCATTTTAGAAGCTGTTGACGTAAATGATGTAGTGAATCTGAGGCTTTCACATTGCCTTATATAAGACCACAGATGTTAAAAAGCTATAATTATAAGCACAAATATCTCATAAAAGATTGAAAACACGCATGTGTAATTGCTAGGTGAAATAAACGCCACAATTCATCTTGTGGACACTTTTTAACTTCATTCATAATGTCACAAAATCTTACTTAAAATAAAAAATGAGCATTTGAGATTTTTTGTCCATTATTGATCTAAAGATTTTTTCAAAATAATCTATGTACAAATTGCTGAACAAATGTACTAGATGTTATATGGGACATGGTCACATCTTGGGGCAAAATGTATTTCCCTTCTTCCCTGATCTGTTGCAGCAGCCAAGCTCCATGTTGAAACCAAAAGTTGAATGTTTTGGCTGAAATATGTAGATTAGTCTTTGCAATTAAGATTTGAGGAGGAAAAATGGCTGCCTTAAAAACCATGAGTGTGCCTAGAAGTGTAATAATGAGTTATAGATTTTAATGGTTAAATTTCATATTATTTCCTTATAGTATGTGGAGATGAGAACTGTGAAACAATAGAAGGCGAAGACTGTGAGACCTGCCCCAAAGACTGTGGGAGGTGTCCCCTGCAGACATGGGAGATTGCTTTAATAGTGGTTGCCATCCTGATTGTATTCATTGTCCTTGGTGCAATAGTTGGGGTATGTGCTAAACTTTACTGTTGTGGTAATATATTAGGTATTGCATTATTATGTCACCACCAGAAGTGGTGACATACATGTATTGTTATAGTCTCCCAACTTTTTGGGGACAGTGGTTGGTGTTCGGCATTTGGTGTTTGTAAAGAATTCTTACAGCATCTGTAAAAAATGGCAGGTGGTGACATTAGGCAAGTTAATGCCTTGTTTTTTCTTTACAGAGTGTATATAATTCCATATAGAGGAAAGCAAATATGACATACACGTGTCTCTGCTTGGCAATGATCTATATTCTGTGGTGAATAATGGCTTCATATGATAAATATTTTCTGATGATTTTTGATTATTTATTTTCAGTATTTTGTATGGAAACAGCAGAAGTTATTATGGGATGAGAGCTGGATTGTTTCATATGACAAGATCACTCCAGGTACATCATCTATCTACTGCACATCTCTTGAAATTGGAGCATTAAAAGGGATTTCCCAATGCAATTATTGTAGACTCACACAGTCATACTAAGGCCAACTAGTGTTGTCGCGATTAATCGATACATCGCGATATACATCGCCAAAGCTGGTTTTGGCGATGCATCGATGTCTGAAACAAAACATCGATGTTTTTAAAAAAATTTAATTTGCTAAAAATCGCCCTTTCTTACCTTATTTTGACGCAAATTGTTTTCCTTTTTTCATGTCTTATTTCATTTCCCAGTGTTTTCTGATATTCTTTCGCTTTAAAACTGTTTTAGCTAGACGAAATGAACCATTAATCTAAAAAAATAGACTTTACTTTCATTTCACCGTTACTAGAATTCCCGGATGTAGCAGCCTACTCTTATTAATTTGTTCTGTTCGGTATTTTAGTGCATTAGCGTTCGGTATTTCAGTGCACATTTCTCGAACTTTTTCTCGATGTACATCGCGATGTGCATCGATGTTTACTACTGAAAATTGCCGATGTACGATTATGGCACATCCCGACAACACTAAGGCCAACTATAAAAATTTACCTTACCATTTTTCACCTATGCCCCTTCCAGAATCGCATATCAACTGGCTATCATATTGACAGTGTGAGAGGTCACAACCTTCTATCAGCACCTTTCTAGAAGTATTCTTAGCAAGGCAAAGGTGGTCAGAGTATCAGAATGTTATTACCCCATCTAGCCTTAATTAATACTCAAACAATATCAACTTTTTGTTTCAGACACTGGGGTACGTGGCTTTATGGGAAGCGTAATTAGCATCAATCAAAGCATGGCCAGTATGACCTCTGGGGTAACTGCAAATAAGAATTTAACTGGAAACTCTTTAGCCCTCAATGCTGCTAGAAAACAGATTTTCACAGAGACTGGAATCTAGTAAGTGTACATAAAGGCCAATAGTCAGTTTTTACTTACCAAGGGGGTTCACTTCTCTAAAAAATCCAAAGTGTTCAAATTTGACAATTATGGCCCAAAAACAGTTGGAAGTGCTCAAAATGCTGAAAAACCATGCCATTTCTCTGAAACCCATTACTCCGAAACCTATCACAAAATTTGCGTGTACTCACAGAAAGAGGCTGCAAAAATATTTTGTCATCTATTATCCATTTTTGTTATGCTTAGAAATAACTAGCCACATATACAACACACCATTGGAAAGCTTATCTTAACATTATGATGTAAGGCTGCAAAAAATATTTTGTTATCTATTATCTATTTTTGTTATGATAATAACTAACCACACATACAGCACACCATTGGAAAGCTTATTGTGTCTTCTACAGCCTATAAGACACTAAATGCGTCCCACAATCAAGTGCTTGTCTGCTAGTTTCATGGTCATGTCATTGAATATCAAATTGATCCCTGTTTGCAATACATTGTGCAGTTAGATTTTCAAAAATAAACTAAGTATGTCATCCCAAGGGCCAAAATGTTATATTTTGGCTCTGAATCTTACACACCAAAAGACAAAATGCAAAATACATGTATGTAGTCATTTTGAAATATAGCCTGACAGTGTCATAAGTTTAATTTTCAGAAGTTAATGTAAAAACAGCTTATATTTCCAATAACAATATTTCAGTGATGGCCGAACAATTGCAGTCAAAGCGATACAAAAGAGAAATTTTGCTCTCTCCAAGTCAATCCGAAAAGAGGTCAAACAAGTTAGGTAAGAAAATGATTCATCATTGATTTAAAAATATGAAAAATAGCAGGTCAGTAAAAGTAACAAAATAAAAAACTAAATCTCCTGTACATAATATATGTTCAAAAACATAACACTTGTTCAGAAACAGGTTTTCTATACTGCAACTTTAACTTTTAAATAACGTAAACACCACTGGGGAGGTTTCTAAGTTGTTATCATACTTTGAAACTGGAACTCACGAACTACTTACTTCCCAAATATTTTGATGTGATTTGAAGGAATGAATTTGAAGGATGAAAGCACCCTATCTTTGTTTTCAGAGTTCCACCCAAGTGCTATACCTGACTTGTACAAGTTTGCGTATACATATTCCAAATAACTTATATCGAAAGCTCTCTATTGTCTATAGGCAACCAGAAAGGCATCAGTTAGGTTAAAACCTCCTGTTTTTAAAGAACCCCTATTCCAACCAAGACTGGTCAAGACTCGATTAACTGAGAGAGATGATAAAGATTTCATGATATCCCCATGATGATAATGTGTTATGTCAGTGGTACCAAAGAAAAAACATAATTGAAAAACATCAGATACAGACAAGATACAAATAAAATCAATGATTGGCTAAGATAGAAAAGATTTTGTATGTTTATTTAGAATAATTTTGGTCTATGGGATACGTAACTGAGCATATCTAAAATCAATCCCATTCGGTTAGAATACATATTCAGTTAGTTCTTGATCTAAACAGCTTTTAAAGCTATGGGTTACTTTTAATTTGAAAAGATATTAAAACATTGACAACTACGTAGAAGCCTTATATCAAAATTCCATGATTATAAGAATTGATACATTCCAGAACCTTCGATAATCCCAACCTGACAAGATTTATAGGAGCTACACTAGAACCAGACAGAGTAAATTTACTAACTGAATACTGTCCAAAAGGAAGCTTGAATGATGTACTCATGAATGAAGATGTCCCTTTAAACTGGGCTTTTAGGTAAGAGTGTGAATGATATAGATTAATTTATAATCCATCAAGAGTTGCTGTTTGATAGTATTGCTCTAAGTACTGAACACCATCATGATAAACCATGACATCTCATTTCTTCTCAGCATTGAGATGCCATGATATAATGAGCTTGATTTGGTGATCCAGGAGAGCCCAAAATTGAGGATTTTTGAGATCTTTCATTCCAGCTCATGAGATGCTATGAGAATCAGAATGACTGAACACTTCAATAGTCAGTTCTTCCCAGTAAATAACCTCTATTCTCTTCATTTAAATTAGTCAGTTACTTAATTTGATTGGTGTGTTGATTATGTCTTCTATTAATTTCAGGTTCTCTTTTGCCAGTGATATAGCAGGAGGAATGAGATATTTACATAATAACAAACTCTACCATGGCAGACTCAAGTCACAGAATTGTCTCATAGATGATAGATGGACTGTCAAAATAGCAGGTACAACAATGCGTTGGCTGTTAAAACCTTAAAACCCCCTTTACGATGCCCTTAATTATTCAGATAGTCCAATTATATACATCTATATTTTCCAGCTTCTAAATAGCATATCTCAAATAATCACTCCCAACAGCAAGCTTATTTTGAAAAACTAGTTACTTTACATATGTAGATTAGAAGGCCTTGAATTCATTTCTTTCCTGCTATCCTATTCATATCCTTTTTGGAATGATTCCAGACTATGGAACCCCTGGTTTACGAAAGGAGCAATGTGATGATATTGAATCAGTTATAAACACTAAAGACGCGGATATAGTATACAGGGCACCAGAAGTTGTTGATTTTGAACATGCCAGCCCCACACCTGAGGCAGATGTCTATGCATTTGCAATCATCTTAGTAGAGATAGCCACCAGAAATGATCCTTACGGGGTAGGTCTTTTATGTATTGATTACAGTAGTAAGTTTTAACTATTATATAAGGTTGGTTGCATGATTCAGTTCCGGCATTCCAAATCTTTTTTCTAATGTGAAGTGTAATTACTCAAGTAATTTTACCTAAAGTACCAATAATTATTCAAAAACATTGCAGTGCCAATATGTCTCAAAAATTATTTCATCCTTTTTTCTTCAAAAATATGCATAATGCCCGTTTAAATCGCATGTTTTGAAAATATGTTTTATTCTAATCAGATTTGCACCTTTCAAAAGAAAGTATCAAGTATAATTGCAATTCTCAAAGTTATACAGGTTCCCTGAACATCGAATGAAAGAATGAGGACATATTCACCTTTCAAAATCAAATGAGGCCACCAATGAAGAATAGCCGTCACAAAGGAATATTACATAACATTTTATGTCACTTGATCCATGTTCAACCAATCACAGAATGTGAAACGTAACAGTTATTTAACAATTCTTATTATTCTTAGGATGAAAGTCCAGATACTATAAAACCTGGATGGCGCCCCCCTCTCCCAGACCTCAGTCAGGAGTCAACTGTAGATGATGTATGCCCCTGCCCAAAGGATTATTTAAAGGTGCCTAAGTAATATTTTGGCAGTATATGCCCAGCATGTTTTGAGTATGAAATTAATAATGCATGTAAAATGTTTCTTGTTTAATGGCCTGTTTGTATTTTGCATATCTCTCTTGATGTTACAATATACATGTACCACACTATTTAATTTGAAATGTGTTTTATACTTTTAGCTGATACAAATTTGCTGGGTCGATAAGCCATCAGAGCGACCTCTATTTGCGGATATCAAGAAAGTCTTACATAGGATAAATCCAAACAAGCTCAGTCCAGTTGACCTCATGATGGCAATGGTAAGCAATGTTAATACAGTGAAACCTTATGTCTAAATACCTCTCTTATCAGAATAACTCTCAATGTGAACATGGCTCTTTGACTCACATTCTACTCAGAAACATCTATCTTCACCTTCAAGTGAATTCTATTCTCAAAAACCAAGGTAGAGTTGGTGATATATTTGTTGATTTACTATGTCACTGCCATATTGTTATGGTCTCCGTTTTTTTGTGGCGGAAGTTGGTGGTTGCCGATTGGTGGGTGGTGGTTGGTGTCTGTAACAAATTCTTAAAACTTCCAATAAATTAACAAATACTTTTTACATTGACTTCAATTTTTTTCCAAATCATCACAAATTTTCAGAAGTTCAAATCTGACTTTACATTTTAACATTTGACCTTCAATGACCTTTTCAGTGTCAAAAAAGGTTAAAAAGGTCAAAAAGTTATTTTTCAACTTGCTTCAAATTGGCCAATGTTTTTCTCAAAATCATCTACAGAGTTCTCAAAAATGCAAATCTGACAGGAAATTGAACTCATAATATTGTGAGCAACTAGGTGGTGACATTTTGTCATGTTAATGCCTTGTTGTTATGTGTTATAGATGGAGAAATACTCTAAGCATCTAGAGTCCCTTGTTGGGGAGAGAACAGCAGACTTAATGCTGGAAAAACAGAAAACAGACAGGTTGCTCTATAGTAAGTCAATTCAATGAACATATTTTTTTATTCAACTTTACTGTAAAACATTTTTTGTTAGGCTTATTTTGGCCTGGTTCCTGAACTTTAAATGTAAGATAAGAAATAAAGATTTCACTGTATAATAAGAAATATTGTTAATTTATTATGATGTAAAACACAATGAAATGCACAGTTCAGGAACATTGGATTTTCACTTTAAAGCTTTATTTTTTATTATATTTCAGGTATGTTACCAATGGAAGTGGCCAATGATCTAAGACAGGGGAAGACAATAAGTGCTGAGTGGTTTGATGAATGCACCATATTTTTCTCAGATATTGTTGGCTTTACTACACTCTCAGGAAGCAGTACTCCTCTGGAGGTCGTTGCATTTTTGAACAAGCTTTATATATGCTTCGACAGCATCATTGACGCATATGACGTTTACAAAGTTGAAACCATTGGAGATGCTTGTAAGTTACACATTTTTTTTATCTCACTGAACAAAATTTGTCGGGATATAGAGGAGCCATCCATCTGTCCATCCGTTCGCTTGTCTGTTCATTCCTCCATTATTGTTTTGTTTGTTTCTTATAAAAGATGCAAGTGCAGACACTGATATATTTACACCCATGGAATTGACACTCTTCAAGGCGCTGCTACCCTTAACTTTCTATTTTCATTGAATGATAACTATGTCATGAAAATTTCATGGTATCATTGAAGTCAATTATGATGAAATGGCATACATGCCTTTGATTGAAGAGAGTTCATGATTTGAATTTATATGTTTCAGACATGGTTGTATCAGGTGTACCTAAGAAGAATGGCATACTTCATGGGAGGGAGGTTGCCAATATGTCACTAGACCTTGTTGAGGCTTGCAAAGGATTTGTTATTCCTCATAAACCCCAAGAACCATTGAAAGTGAGAGTAGGGCTACATTCAGGTGAGATAACATACTAAAAGACACATTGTCTCCTAATTTTTATGCATGTATTCATCCCTCTGTGACTGAGGTTGCACCGTATCCATATCTTATTATTACTTATATCGTTGTCTTCCACTTTGCTAAAGGACCATCAGTTTTTCTTATTGGTTGGTTCCCCCTGATTTCATCACATCTGTCAATTGAATCATGGGTTTTCAACAGAAAGTCCATGATTGAATAGTCTTTTTTAGAATTTTTTATAATCACACTTTTTAAAGTGCTATTTTCTCATCTTGTGCTGCTGGTTGGACAAGCGGTCCTGTGGGTACTACATAAATTTTGTCATCAAAATTTCGGAAAATTTGCACACATGTTCAATAGCAAACTAGTGCCAAGATCTGAATTTTGGGCATGCTGGGTATATTACTTGAATTTTTGATAAAAAGTGTGACATTTATCATGTCATTTTTAGATATTTTATTTCAATGTTTTTGGTGTCACAGGTCCTGTGTGTGCTGGAGTTGTGGGTCTCAAAATGCCTCGATATTGCCTGTTTGGAGATACTGTCAACACAGCATCAAGGATGGAGTCAAATGGAGAAGGTATCTGTACATTCAGAAATGTTAATCATTATTCATTATTTGTAAAATATCATAAATTATTAAGTGCCTTTTGAATTATTTATCTTTTTATTTTCAATAAGTGAAAAATAGGGAATTAACATGTCCTTTCTCATTGATTTTCAACTTAATTCCACTAAGTAGTAACTACCAAATATTTTTATGAAATTCTATCAACCAAGGATTGGATGGTAGAAGGTTAGCAGATACCAAGAAGCACCCTCAGAGTAATAACAACCTATTATAGGTTCCAGCTTCCAGACTTCAGAGCCTGTAATGCTCAAGATCCAATAAAATATAAAAATGCCTTTATGTATTTGCAAGCTTACAAGATCCACATGAGTGAGTTTACAAACGATGTTTTGTGCAAGGTGGGGGGCTTCCATATTGAGATGAGAGGCAGTATTCCCATTAAGGGCAAAGGTGATATGACAACTTACTGGTTAACTGACAGGGACCAGAACAATACACACAAATCTGACACACTTACAGAAGGTAATTGATTTCATATAAGCTAAAGGGTGATAGAAATAATACTTAAATAAAGATGGCAGTGCAATCAATATAATAATGAGAGAATAAAGAGGAGGGAAAGCCCCAGAGCTTTAGCGATGACTGACATAATACGTCTCTTGCGTACCACCTTCATTTGCGCAAATTCTCACCAGTTAATTTTCGAACATAGCGCATCGTCATGATGTTTTAATAGGTGTAAACATATTCCTTACATATTTCTTTATCTTGATGTGAAAAACCAAGCTATGATATTGGTTAATACGCCAGGAATCAACATAATATTATTCAAAGCGTTATTAGAAAATTTGGAATCCGCCATTTTTTTTTATCGATTTAGACCAATCAGAGGTGTATGTCATATCAATACAGGTTTACATTATAAGCATATGTCATCTTTGAACTCTGGGGTTAATCCCCCTCTTGAGAGAATATAAAGTTCTACCATTGCTGCCATCTTTATGTCAGACTAAAACCTATGTGATTTCAAACGCTATATACTCATGTACAAATTATAATCATGTACAAAACATGTATGTGAAAGAGAATTGAACGATCAATAGATAGATAGGGTTGCCAATGAGTACTATAATCTCCACCATAATCCTCACTGGTCAGTATTAGGAGATAGTAATGGCTGTTATTTTTTTTAATATGGCAGATACAGGGGCGTAGCCAGCTTTCAGTCAGGGGAGGAGTGATCGTCAATTTTTTTTGGTTTAAAGTCAGGGGGATGCGATTGCCAAAATTCTTTTCGCTTTTCAGTCATGGCATAAGCATGGCAAAAAGTTTGGAGTTTTTATTAAGATTTGTTTTGAATTTTACAAAAAATGATGCAACTTCCTTCAGAATTGAGATAAAAAAATTTGATCATCTTCTTCTAACCTGTGGTTCTATTTTTATTGGATCGCACCCATCGCACTCATCATGGCTACACCTATGTGATGCATCAAATCAAAACCCTTACCCCAAAACACTTGGCTTTGAAATTTTGACCACACCTTCAACTCTGCAATCAGATAAGAGAGAGTTAACAGCTATTGCCTTCTTCTGGTACTGGCAAATTAAACATGTAGCATCAAATTTCCAGACATTTCCAGAATAAGTTGCTAGCACTTAATTTCAGGTATGTCTCCAATACCCAATGCGGAGATTTTCACATTTGAATCCAAATTTGTGTGATTTAGTTTCATTGTGAATTATTGATAAATGACACTTTTTCATCATGTTCAAGTTAGCTGGTCAAAGCTGTATATATTCAATTTCAATGGTTTTATTATGTAGCTCTTTGATAAAATGTAGTTAATTTTTTGTCAAATTATTTAATTAGCAACTGACCTTGAAGCTGAAATTGATGAACTAATGAAAGAATTATAACCACAGCATGTATCTTCCCAGAGACATAGACAGAAAGGTGAACAGTCTGTGAATATTGCTGTAAATGTTATGTCATGTATCTCTGTATGTCTGTAGTTCTGTACTAACATGTATTAATATTAACCAATGGCAGTGACAGTTACAAAATTTTTTGGATCAGATTTTACATTTTAAAGGCAGAATCAGATCTAAAGGGGCCTAAGGGGGTGACAAAATTGCAAGCAACATGAACAATTGACTTACCAATCTATGACTTACAATCTCAAATACAATAACTCCCCTAAGATTGTTGATGTGTTATAATATTGGTGAAGTTATTAGAATTCAAAGTGCAAAAATGGGGGAAAATGTTTAAATTCTTCCAAATGATAATAAATGGTAGCCATAGTTATCGTTTTCCTGAAATACTGTAAAGTATGCACTTAAGGGATTTTTAGAAAATATACATGACAAAAAAATATTCTCAAATAGAAACAATGTTTTGTTCAGCTTACTAGCTAGATCTGATTCTCCCTTTAATGTATTCAAGTATTGAACAGACTGATCTAAAAATTACATAATATTTTACAGTTTTGATACTGATCTTGATGAATTTGAATGTAGCTCTTATTATTTTTAGGGTAGTTTACATGTACACTGAATGTTAGGCACTTATAGGCAGAAAATGTTAATGTGTCTGACTTTTTGGCTAATTTTATTTTCTAGAAATCATAACATTCAAACCTAATCCAGGGAGTCATAGATTTAGCAATTTTATGTTTATCTTTCTATATATGCAGATATATTCATATTTAAAGTTTTTTAAGAATTAAAACAATCTGTATTTGAAATATTGCATCACCCCCTGTGAAATTGTTTGCTTTTTAACTGTATTAAAGTAGTTTCGGGTTGCCAACCCTTTTGTTTTGATTCTAGGCCACTCTAACTTTTACATTCTTGTTTTCCAGTCCAGTCATAACATGAAAGATCTGAATAGCGTCATATGTAGTGACATAACTACATTTAATAGATGATTAGTCTACAGAACATCTCTTCGAGTGACTGAATCACATCTTGGAGTTAATGTACCTCTACGGTCATGGACTCACTATAGCACCGGTATATAGTTTAAGTACAAGTTGTACATGTCATTGTAGGGAACAGCTACTGACCTTTTTCAAGGATTCAATATACCAAAGACATATGAGGAGTGAATACTTACTTATATATGATCTGATAAACTCTTGTATTCAATGAAAGCTCACTCTTTAATGTTATGCTGAAGATTGTTCAAATGAACAAAGTTGGTAAAAATATTGACAAGCTTTAATTTTTTGATTTTATGTTTTTTGACTGGTGAGCCTATTGGGCCCCATCTGTTGGCCATATTGGTCATATTTCTACAACATACTACTTTCAAATCTAGTCATATTTGTTGCATGATGTTTTTGATGAATGTTGAGTTTTACCATTGTTGATGTTATGTTAATGCCTTCATCATTTAATTCACTTGTACACCTTGACTATGTAATGCTTTATATCTTTAGTCTGAATGTCATTTGCCATAGAGTACACCTATATTTTTTAACACTTTATACTTGTAAATATATGGAAATTGAAATGACTATACAGTGATCTCCCCAGAATTAGTTCTTCAAATTGATAGGGTGTTTACAGGATGGCAGACATTTTTCAAATTATCACGTGTGCTGCATCCAACTGCTCAATTTGGTCTAATAGTGAGGGGATCATTAAAATTAATCGTTAAAAATCGATGGTTAAAATTCAAATGCACAAAAAAGCAGCAGTTCTTTTTACTGTGATATACATAACTCTTTGACTATTCAAAGAACAAGGTTTTCATGATTTGTTTTTATTCTTCAAAAACATGTTTTGTACATATAATATACATGTAATTCAGTTATTATTTAATATGTAAAAAGGTAACACTATGAATATACAATGTACCTATTGCATATTTTGAATAAATTATCTTATTTTAAATAAATACAACTACCAAAATAACAATGCTGTTGGAGTTTTTTCATCACCATTTGAATAGTGTAATGATCTTGATGGCAATTCCGATTTTCAGAGCTTGTTAAACTATGAAATTTTTTCAATGGAAATGCAAGGTTGTTTCCAATTTCACCACCAGATGGCTAATCTGGGTCAAATAACATTCCAGATATTATAGATAAAATTAAAGAAAAAAATTCCTTTAAATTATTATTATACAGTAGAAAATATATCCAGTGACAGAAAATATTATCATTGTAATTCAAGAAGATATTTCATTTTTCATGATTTTATAACGCCTATAATGGACTGACCTAGAAGTCACATTTTCAAAGAAAAACTAAAATTTCAAAGTTGATAAAGAATTTTTAAAACCACATTTTTAGATGTAGTTTTATATAGAGATTTCAAATATGATATCACTTTGACAAAATTTTGAATATTAATGACAGAAAATCAAGATCATTTCTACTTGCATCTAGTTTATCGGATGAGGTAGTAAAATGCCAGAAATACAGAATATCAAATTATTTTGAATGATATTTTTATTGACAAGTAATATAAAATATTAACACAATTCAGCGAAGAGAATGATTGCTGATATTTGATATCTACAAGGTAATAAAATGATATCACAAAGAATGATTTGACAGTGGGTTTATCCCATGATCAAAATCAAAAAATTCAAATTAGTTTATGGATATGCAGCTGACAATCAATATCAGCCGCATATAAGGCTTATAAATGATTTCTGAAAAATATCACTGGCTGTTATTGTAGAGATAACAGAATCATTGTGGGAAACATGGCTTTAAGTCTTCAGAAATTTCAGGAAAAAATTGACCAAAATCTGACCACATTGAGTTCAATACAAATCTGGATTTATTTCTAGGGGGGGGGGGGGGGAGTAGGGGGGTCAAGCAAGGGTTTCAAAATTAAGGTCATATTTGTTTTATTTTTCCTCCTTTAAAAGTATATGTAATGGGTCTACATTACTCTAATAAAAAGCATTCAATCAAATCTCATTTTTCCAAAATTTCTTGGAGGGAGGACCCGCCAAAACCCACCGCTCGCTTGGCTCGTGTCTTTCGCCATTCAATTATCAGGAAATGTCTTGCTTTAAGCCATGGGGATAAAATATGGGATATGTCACTTTTATAGTTTATTTTAACTTATGGCTATATCACACTGCTGAATCAGGAATCATATTAGAACTATTTCATAATACATCCTTATATGCACCATCTGTTAAATCTACTGAAGTACTATTCAGTCTACTGATGTACCCGTCCTTTCACTCTCTGTATCTATGGTTTGAGCTGCAACACTTCGTTCATCTACATCATTAGGAGATGCTGAAAGTGAAAACAAAATTAATTTATGAGATGCATTACAACTCCTGTATAACTTGGAAGAAGGCAATTCCAAGAAGATCATACATTCAATAGGTCAACGGGTTCAAATATTAAAAGGTAAACTAATAGGTGGAATCATTTTAAATACTTTTTCTTATAAAAGAATGTGTCATTGGTTTTCAATGTTCAATTAAACATCAAACAATATCCTCTAAGCTCCTTTACACAATTTTGTTTTCCTATTGGAATGTTAGATTCACCTGTGTCACCTGCACCAGTTTCTTCATAGCCAGCAGTGTTTGGATTCTCTTCAATGTCATCATCAGCACCACACGTATTGTAGGATCCACAATGTTGGCACTTCTGGCCAAGGACATGGAACTTAGTTTTGCTAGTCTGGAACAAAAGGTTCAGTCTGTAACATGAGGTACAAGCTGTAACATGAGGTACAAGCTGTAACATGAGGTACAAGCTGCAACATGAGGTACAAGCTGCAACATGAAGCACAGGCTGCAAAACAAGTAATCTAAATTCATACAACTACACCATATATAGGACAGAAATGCCATTTATCAATGCAACTTTGAATGTGAGCAGATGCACAATACTGTATGTCCATTTAAGTTACTGGCTGGAGCTTGGTTTTGTTGCAATTTGTTCAAAACACACTACTAATTTAACTAAACACAAACATGTGAAGGAACTAACCTTGTGGCAATCTTTGCATAAACTGTTAATGATGGTGTCTCTGTATTCTTCAGGCATCTGTGTGTTAGCAACCTCCTCATCCAGCCTCTTCCAAATGTTGTCCATCTCAACCATTGCCTCTCCACACATTGGACAGGCAAAGTGTCTGAAATAATTACAACAAGTCTGTAATGGGCAATTTCAGGCAAAGTGTCTGAAATAATTACAACAATAGATGTGAGTTGGCCATTTGAACAGGCAAAGTGTCTGAAATAATTACAACAATAGATGTGAGTTGGCCATTTGGACAGGCAAAGTGCCTGAAATAATTACAACAATAATTTGTATCGCCAATTTGGACAGGACGGGCAAAGAATGAACAGCACAGCTGCAGCTTAACTTGGGCCATTAAGGTTGAAAAAAGAAGATATTTATGAAATCAATGTATTTCTAGCAAGATGTGATTAAGTACAGTCAAGAGGTATAACATTTGTATATTGAATGTTAAGGGTTGTATTACTGGGACTTGAAAGAAATTATTATTTAAATATTTTCTCACCCTTTTGAGAGCATCTGTTTATAGCATGTCCTGAAAATAAAAAGAGGGTGTAATTGTCACTTTTATCTACACTTTATAAAATAGCTTATTAATGTCCTTATTTTAGTCATATTTCCTCATTGTTAATAAATTGTTTGTGATCTTGAGCACACTAAACAAATATTTTTGGACACCATGTAAAATGTTTGAGTTTTTCAATAGTACTTTTTGGAAGTTTTTTGTGCTTCTGTTATTTTTTTAGCTTCAGCCACAGATATATTTCACTTTTTTGCGTAAAAATCAAAGTGATTTGGGGTAGAGGGGCAAAGTTATGATAGTCAGAAGTTTAAGCCAATAAAAATAAAATTCGTAAAATATTGATAGTCACATTGTTTCTAATACTGTAGGAAATGCAAATTAATCAGTAAATTACTCTGTTTGGTAGGTAGTACTCATTGAACAGATTGAATTCTCTTTCCAACATCCATAATTTCATGAGAATCGATTTTAGTTAATTTTTGTGCATGTTCCGTAATGCTTATGTAAACTGTGGTACCAGAATTATAATTATAAACCTCTCCCAGTTTTAGATATAGTTTTTTATGTTTCCCTTACCCCAATTTTTCAATTTCACTAATATTCAATTAATATTCTGTTGCTATGTGGTTGCTAGCAAAAATCATGGACTGAAATTATATTGAAATGATAATAAGTCAGCATTTATATATTATCTAGCTAAATCACTAATTGTTATTGTTATTTGTAGGACTTCTTGAAATATGAATGTTAAAGACAGAAACAAGTTGAACTTCAAATTGTTGATTATTCAGTTACGCGTTCCATTGATTTCAATGAGTTTTCGTGATGCATGCTATCTTCGAAAATACATAACTTCAGTTCTAGGAAAGCAATTACCCTAATTTTTATTTCATTTGAAAGATAATAGATTATTATTTTTAGGAAATAAACCATTTAGGCACCAATAATTATTTTGAAAGGAAATTAACATTAGCACAAAATGGCATGTTGACCTTTGTTGAGGGGTGTTTATTTGGTCTTGCGAATTAGTGTTATAAAAAAGGTTGCAAACATTAGAGTTAGTTGTATCATTGACCACGGACATGTTTCTATTGATCATACTAGATTCTTTAATCTGTATTGTTGATTTAAAAGATCCGCTTTCCATGGTGATTCTATATGATGAAAGACATTTGGACATTTTAAGCACATTGTCTGGTATTACCGTAAAAATTATGTTTTACGCGCATAAAAGAGGCGTTTTGATATTAAAGATTGGACACATTTTTTTCATATTTTTGGCGTAGTGTTGAATTGACACCTTCCTTCCCTGCTTCATGTGAGAAATCCCATATTTATCAATACATATATATTATAACGCATATTTTGAATGTTTCAACCACAATATACTTACCCATGTATGAGATGACCACATGGAGGTATAGTGGAGCCATCTCTTGATGTGTGCAGATCCTCCATACAAACTGGGCAGTTAGTCCGGGACACTTTCTCTATGCACTGTAATAAAAGAACTGACTAGCATTATACAGGTTGCAAATTTTATTCTCTGATATTTACCAATATACATCTTTCCACCAAATATGAAGAAAATCTGTCCACTAGTATTCAAGTTATTTTCTGAATGGAGGGATGCATGGACAGACTGCAGGACTGACAAATAGAAGGAAGGTTTCATTATCCAAATCAAACTTTGTTGAGGTCATAGGACACAAACGTGTAAAACCTTTAATTTTCCTGGGAATAAAGTATGAAATATGAACTTTAGGAATTCTTTGAAAATACAAACATTTGGGTACATTTGGAAGATTTATTTTTTCAAGAGAAAATTTACAAGTGAATTGCCAAATGAATAGGCGCAGTGCATGGCAAAATATGTTAGGTCATCTAGTTTTTTTTTTTGAACTGATACCCTTCTAAGATATGAGATCTATTAAAAAAGGCGCATCATCACCAATGTGCAAAAGTCAATGTTTTTGCTATAAATCGGGCAACAATGGTCTACACGACCTGGGATAAATAGGTATAAGGGACGTTATTATCACAATACTAATGACATTGGTCACTTTTTAAAGTTAGTTTCAATGCGTTATACAAAAAATAATCAAAATAAATTAATATTGGATGGAGGGGGGAGTGGATGGAGGGGGGGATTTATATGTCTTTACGATGGAACAAATTCACAAGAACTCGTGTATTTGAAAAAAGTAAACTCAGTACCCCAGTAAGAAACTGGATATTATATCTCTGGAGAATGAAAAAGTGGAAAGAATAAATTCAAGTAGCATGTCTTATCATGTCTTATATACATGTGATCCCCCCTCCATCCAATATTAATTTATTTTGAAAATTTTTGGTATATTGCATGGAAACTAACTTTAAAAAGTGAGCAATGTCATTAGTATTGTGATAATAACGTCCCTTATACCTATTTATTACAGGTCGTGTAGACCATTCTTGCCCGATTTATAGCAAAAACATTGACTTTTGCACGTTGGTGATGATGCGCCTTTTTTAATAGATCTCATATCTTAGAAGGGTATCAGTTCAAAAAAAATACTAGATGACCTAATATATTTTGCCATGCACTGTGCCTATTCATTTGGCAATTCAGTTGTAAATTTTCTCTTGAAAAAATAAATCTTCCAAATTTGTTGAGTTTTCTTGCAGAAATTGCCTAATCCCCCCTCCATCCATTTTGTACGATCACCGGGGGTGATAATTTGGGGAAATATATCTCGTCAGAGAGTTAAAGTCAACTCCAAAACCAAAACCAATTTCTCAGATCTATAAACAAATCTGATAAAGTGTAGTAAAAACTAAGCACAGTGTAATCATGGATGATTTGCCTTACCAGAGTCTCAGTTACTAAATGATTACCACTAACCTTGTGTTGCTCCTGACTAGAGATTGGCATGCACATGTCACACTTGCTACAATGAAAGTACTTGTCTCGTCCACCAACCCTGCAAGGGACATTAACATGGATAAGTACACGTAGTAAAAATAAATAAAAACACAATTTGAAGTTCAATGAATTTTTGAATGTTTTAGAAGCCCTACATCAAATTTCAAGTACTGTATATATACAGAGCATTGAGAGCAACAGCTATGATATATTTCACTAACAAACCTGCAAATTCCACACCCTTCACAATGGAACTGTCCCTTTTCATCATCGTCATACAACCGACAAACTTCACAAAAATATTTGCCAAATGTCACCTTGCAATGAGAACATACAGCCTTTACCTGCAATAATATAGAATACTACTCGTATACCACATTTATATACATGGTACATTTAGTTGACAAATTAAAACCACCATTTGAAAGCCGATATTGGTGAGTGGTATTGGTCAAAAAGTGGAATTTGTAGATAATCTTTATTTTATATATAACCTCTATCAGCCACCAACTAAACGATGTGAATCAATCAGAGAAAAATAAAAAATCCATTTATCAAATCTTAAAGAACATCAATTCTAGCTGTTATATTTTTTTTATCTGACTCTAAAATCCAATTGTGCATTCATATACCAAAAGATGATTGTCTATAATCACTCATATTACATTTTTTTTATACATGTACAATGTTATCAAATAAGTTGATTGTATTTAATGCTTTAACAAATTTGAATACCTTTTGTTTGACTCTACAACCGAGGCACTGAATTTGCTTGACAGAAGTACGTTCAATTGTATGCATCTCCTTTTCATCATGGCACAGTCTGCATGTGTAAACCTTTCCACAGCACGGGGACTAGAAAACATATTAATAAGAATGATATAAACCTGCTTCTTGGCTTCAAGATTGATTCAGATTCTATCAAAAAAGAAACAATCTTGAAATAATTGCTCCAAATAAAGTATGAAGACATGTCAATTGTCTATACAACATTCAGACATTGGGTTGTAAAATTGCAACCTTGAAAAACTGTTTCACTTTATGTGGTGTTTTACAAAGAGCAGTTTTCATCATACATATCACATACTTACAAGGAGTTGTATTTACATTAAAATACTATAGACATTTACATGTATATACTACTACATCAATTCAATTTGACTCAGTCAATTATCTTGAAAATTATTATTATTAATTAAAGAGATCTTTACTTGGTGTATTCGACTCGACTTTTTTATACATGTTTCCCGGCCTATGACAAGTGCAATCCACATGAAGTCACAGATCAGGAGCCAGATCCAGCCCCTTTTGGTATTGGCTCAGAGAATAATTGAGAAGATAAGACACCAACCAAAAAAGGCACATCCAAAAAATGACCACCCAAAAATATGACGCTCGTACTGACCTTTATCTTTTCCATCTCTCAAACATTGAGTGATCAATATTTACCCTGTAATCTCTTCTTTATGTATTAGTTTGAATGATTGCATGGTATCAATTATTGACCCTGTAAATCGAATTTTCCAGGTACATTTATTTCAAGTTTTCAGAGCGTAAAGATAATGGAGTGCTTCAGTAATTTCCGGCAGTGTCCGATGTTGTTTGTATCTTGAATTCTCGAAATCGTTGTTCCCTCTTCAAAAGAGAAGACGCGAAAATCTTTCCTTATAAGGGCAAAATATTTCCCATGATGCAGTTCCCGGAGGAACAAATTTATACTTCCTTATTTTCCCTCATAGGTTTAACATGGGGATTTTCACACCTATTTTTCAAACGATATATTCGTTCATATTCCCGTACGAGAGTACTGAAAAAATTATTAGAAACGATTGATCTCTCATTAATCTTAATATAACAGCTATTTTTTTCATTGCATTAATTCATAGCGTGGTGAAAACGATGATTGAAAAGTGAGAAAATATTCCGGAAGAGAAGGTCACGTGATCAGTAGACTAGTCGCCATATTGGAAAAAACAATTCAATTCGACTTTCAATACTTTCATGCCAATCTTACCGCACTACAAACTGCGACATCGATGCAACAACTGAATAAAAGTATTCATCGTCAAATTACATTGTAGAGTTACGTTGAAAACCCACAAACAACTGAGCAGTAGACCAAAGAAGACGCGTCGCTATTATATAGGTCAATCTGTTCAGTGGTCCGAAAGCAAATCTATAGTACTCATTTCCGAATTTTGTTGTTCATTGTACAATCTTTTATTGATTAAACTCGGTATACTGACTATTAAAGCAATGACAAAGAAGAATACTTACGATGGTGTCATACTGTCATTGTTTTATTTAGCGTGCGGGTGTAAAAACAAAATTGAGTAATAGTTTGATTTAGAACTTTCGTGTCACGCAAATAGCTACGCGAAATGCATAGTGGGAAAATATTGACCAATCAAATTTTGTCCTTTTTGAGTGCTTTTTCAGTGCATATTTGCGAACGTTCTGATTCAAAGAGCGAACCGCGAAAAGGAGAATTATGTCACATCGCAACAAACAGCCAATGTAAGTAAAGGATCGCATAGTCTTGCAAACCGTTGTTATTGTTTCTACAGGAGTATTTAAAGAAACGTCAAGGGATTCCCAGGTAATCTCTGATGTGACGTCATCCGGAGTGGCGTCACATTCTCAGAAAAGGCATTTGACTTCGGGAATAAACATTTGAACAACGGAAATAGCCGAAGCACTCCATTAAATATACGCTCGCTTATTTTATCCTTTTATGAACAAACGCTTTCTTGAATGTGTGGTTTTAGTGATTGGAGATGACGCTAACAACAGTACGCATCGTTTGAGGTATGACATGTGATATTTATTGATAAACTGACTCAAAAATCAAGGAAATATAAATTTTCCGAAGACTTTGTGTCTTGTCCTTGAGTATATTTATAGAGACTAGACACTACCAAGAAGAGGTAATCTGGCAGAGGTCCGTGCATTAAGTTTATTCACTTGCAATTGTCGACTTTCACACTTTACAAAAAATGAAAAAGACGGAAAATTGTAAAGTCTAGTTGGCAAAGCTAAGTCTCTTGTTTGATCTTTAAATCGTTAGTTCCAGTTTGAAAAGGAAAGAATACAGAAGTAAAGTTTACATAGATATCTTCTATACTCACAATAAATGCACATTTTCGCTTGTAATGTTTGCATCCTAAAGTTTCAAAATCTTCAGCCATCTTTCAGGATGTTGCATTAAATTTACGAACGCTTTGAAACACGGAAAACTGGAACAGGTACCATAGGCCTATTTGTGGCGCCCCAACCATTCCAGTCTTCCCATGTATTCCGACTCTTGCCGAAATATTCTAACGAGTATTGATTCTGTCAACTTTTGTTTACTAGGCCTACATTATTTTGTCAACTATAAGTTCACTCTGATACCTTCTAGCGCCGGGCCAGGGGGAGGGGGTCACGGGCAAAAGCATGCAGTTTCATCAGTCTGTGCATTTCTTATGTGATTTTGGCCATTTCTGGGCCAAAGTTGTTAAAGGGTGACGCATATCGTCTAGCAAATCGAACGCTCGTTTCTGGTGTTGCTCAGGGACAGAAAATGGGGGGGGGGGGATATTAGCAGTTTTAAAGGGTAGGCCTAACGCTCTTTTCATCTCTTTACAAGTAACAATTCGAAGACAATTTATAAGAGAAAGATTCAGTGTTGAAAAATGGTCAGATAATCCTTTTAAAAAGCGCTACTTTGGACTTACTTAATCATTCTTCGTGAAGAGTAACGTTTGCATTTTTACTCACGTTACTTTGCCTTAAACAACTTAATTGGCCTTTAACTTTTCCGCTAAAATGGATGATTTTTATGTATAGGCCTAGTCTAGTATGGATTTTCAAAACACGTTACTTTGCCTTAAAAACGTAACCACGAAGAATGGATGAATTGTTATGTAAACATTTTCAAAACACGTTACTTTGCTGTAAAAAACGTAATATTACCTTAAAACGTAACTTTATTGGACTTTGACTTATCGCCACACAAACAATGCCGAATGAATTTTTATGTAAACATTTTCAAAACACGTTACTTTGCCATAAAAACGTAACCTTATTGGACTTTAACTTTTTAACTCTTTTAACGTTACTTTGCCTTAAAACGTAACTTCATTGGACGAAAAAGTCCAAAGTAGACTTTTTAAAAGGATTGTCTGACCATTTTTCAACAAATCTTTCTCTTATAAATTGTCTTCGAATTGTTACTTGTAAAAGAGACGAAAAAAGTCCCTAGTCCCCAGTCATGACATTATATAGCCGTTAAAGTGCAAAAGGCTCGATCCTGGAATAATAAGTATTCAAGCAGTTCACATCAGGCTCAAGGTCGTTGTGTCAACACCTCTGACTGTTGTACAGCAATTATTAGATCGTCACACATTTTTTTTATTTCGACAAATCAATTTCACATTTATGGGTGAAGTTTCATGATCTTCTATTTGTATAGTACCCCGGACAGGTTGTATGATGCAGTCGTTTTTTTATTCTATATTTGCAATAGAACAACCATTCTTATTAAAATTTTCATATTTTATTCCGGAGACAATTTCCAACATGGAAAAAAAATATTTTAACGAAATTCCCAATTTTATGATTTTAACGGGCTTTTTTCAAAAACACTGCACTGTCAATAAAATACAGGTTTTGCTTGAACAATTAAACTTTTAACGTCATTTCAAATATTGTCTAGTTATTGAATTTTTGGCCGCCTAAAGTCTTTCCGAATGTATTTGATGCCATATTAATTATGGCTGATTATTAGACTCCAGATTTCATCTGGAGTCTATTGCTTTTGCCAGTTTTCTTATTAGACTCCAGATGAAATCTGGAGTCTATTGTTTTCGTCAGTTTTCTTATTAGACTCCAGATTTCATCTGGAGTCTATTGCTTTTGCCAGTTTTCTTATTATTATTATTATTATTATTATTTTTCTTTCTTTCCGCGTTTTCTCAGCAACTAGAGGGACTTCCTAAAATCTGCTAACATAGTCAACTAGGTAATGAGTTCTAGTTTCTGGGAAATTAGGTCAAATGTTTATCTAGGTCAAAGGTCAAGAACTAGGTCAAATCGTCTCTTTTTGCTATTTCACAAGTTTTCTCAGTCGTCCTTTGGTATTTTCGCTCCGGGTTTTTTTCATCATGTTCCTTAGAAAAAAAGCTAATTCTGTAAGGCAAACCGTTTTTTGATTACTCTTACCGATTTTGAGATATGGCGTCCAAAAAGTAGGTCAGAACATAAAAAGTTCTCCAAATTCAACGTGTGAATTATCAAATAAGTGTAGAATTATCTCAGGAATCCGAATCTGCAAACAAAATTTTGATCCGACTTCCGGTTCGGAAGTTATAGCGTTTCGAAATCTCAAAAATCGCTAAATTTGGTGCCCATGTTAAGTCAATGGGAAAAAAGGCCTTTTCGAAGTGTAAAATACAAGATATAGACTGAGTTCAGCTTAACATATTGAATGCCTATAAAAGAAGGGGACCTCAAAAGCTACATAGCTTCGAAATTTGGACACCAGAATGCCTAGGTCAAAATCTAGGTCAAATTCATAGTTTTTCCTTATTTTTGCGATTCTGGCACTACACTTTTAGGATTTGCTTCAAAATTTTGTATACAGGTAGCAAAGAGTGTGTTAATAGTGAGAGCCTTTTGCCGTCAGAAAGTATTTTGACCCACTTTTGAGATATGGTGTCCGTAAAGTAGGTCAAAATAAAAATTTCTCATAATTTAACTTATGAGTTATGAATTAAGGGTAGAATTTTCTCAGGAATCCGAATCTGCAAACCAAATTTCAATCTGACTTTTCGTTGGGAAGTTATGGCGTTTTGAAAGCTCAAAAATCGCTAATTTTGGTGCCCCATGTTATGTCAATGAGAAAAAAGATTTTTTTGAAGTGTAAAATACCAGATAAAGACTGAGTACAGCTTAAGATTCTCAAAGTCTATAAAAGAAGGGGACCTCGAAGGCTATCTAGCTTTAAAATTTGGACACCAAAATCCCTAGGTCAAAATCTAGGTCAAATACATAGTTTTTCCTTATTTTTGCGATTCTGGCACTACACTTTTAGGATTTGCTTCGAAATTTTGTATACAGGTAGCAAAGAGTGAGCTTATAGTGTTAGCCTTTTGCCGTCAGAGAGTATTTTGACCCACTTTTGAGATATGGTGTCCGAAAAGTAGGTCAAAATAAAAAATTCTCCAAATTTTACATATGAGTTATGAATTAAGAGTAGAATTTTCTCAGGAATCCGAATCTGCAAACCAAATTTCGATCCGACTTCCAGTTCCAAAGTTATGGCGTGTCCTAAAAGTAGGTCAAAATAAAAATTCGCCAAATTTAACGTATGAGTTATGAATAAGGGGTAGAATTTTGTCAGGAATCCGAATCTTTAAATCAAATTTCGATCCGACTTCCGGTTTGAAAGTTATGGCGTTTTGAAATTTCGAGAAAAATCGATCTGATGTTATCCTGATAGAAAGTCAAGGAAAAAAGATTTTTTTGAAGTGTAAAATACGAGATATAGATTGAGTACAGCTTAAGATAATGAATTCCTATAAAAGAAGGGGACCTCAAAAGCTACCTAGTTTCAATATTTGGACACCAAAATGCCTAAGTCAAAATCTAGGTCAAATTCATAGTTTTTCCTTATTTTTGCGATTCTGGCACTACACTTTTAGGATTTGCTTCAAAATTTTGTATACAGGTAGCAAAGAGTGTGCTAATAGTGTTAGCCTTTTGCCGTCAGAGAGTATTTTGACCCACTTTTGAGATATGGTGTCCGAAAAGTAGGTCAAAATAAAAGTTCTCCGAATTTAGCATATGAGTTATGAAATAAGGATAGAATTTTCTGAGGAATCTGAATCTGCAAACCAAATTTCGATCCGACTTTCTGTTTGAAAGTTATAGCGTTTGAAAGCTCAAAAATCGCTAAATTTGGTGCCCCATGTTATGTCAATAGGGAAAAAGATTAAAATACCAGATATAGACTGAGTACAGCTTAACATTCTGAAAGCCTTTAAAAGAAGGGGACCTCGAAGGCTATCTAGCTTTAAAATTTGGACACCAAAATGCCAAGGTCAAAATCTAGGGCAAATTCATAATTTTCCTTATTTTTGCGATTCTGACATTACACTTTAATGATTTGCTTCGAAATTTTGTATACAGGTAGCAAAGAGTGTGCTTATAGTGATAGCCTTTTGCCGTCAGAAAGTATTTTGACCCACTTTTGAGATATGGTGTCCAAAAAGTAGGTCAAATTAAAAAAATCTCCAAATTTAATGTATGAGTTATGAATTAAGGGTAGAATTTTCTCAGGAGTCCGAATCTTTAAACCAAAATACAATCTAACTTCTGGTTAGATAGTTATAGCGGTTTGAAGTCTCGAAAAGTCGATATGATGATATCCCCATGTTAAGCCAATGGAGTCGAAGATAAAAAATGGAGAGTTGTCTAAATGTCTAAATTCTAGCTGACTCGATCAGCTTATTCTGGATGACTCAGCTTACAAGTATTCTGGATGACTCAGCTTAAAAAAAGAATTAAATCTGGAGTCTTAAATTGAACTTGTTCAATTTACATGTCTAGTTATTCTTCTTCTTATTATTCTAACCCAGTTTTCTCAATAACCATAAGGTCTTCAGTAAAGTCAATCATTTGGTCAATTTAGGTTCAGTATCTAGTTCTCTGGAAATTGGGTCAAATTTTTATCTAGGTCAAAGGTCAAGAACTAGGTCAAATCCAGTACTTTGTCACTTTTTTCGATTTTCTCGGTCATCCTTCAATATTTTTGATCCGGTTTTTTTTCATTGTGTTCCTTATAAAAAAGTAGGAAACCTAGGGTCGATTTAGTTTTTTGATATCTCAAACCGATTTCGAGATATCATTGTCCGAAAACGAGGTCCAAAAAAAAGTTCTCCGAATCAAATGTCCAGGATATTAGTCTTATAGGAAATTTTCTCAGGATTCCAAATCTGAAAACGAAATTTCGATCCGACTTCCAGTTCGGAAGTTATGGCGTTTTGAAAACTCAAAAATCGCTAAATTTGGTGCCCATGTTAAGTCAATGGGAAAAAATATTTTTTTGAAGTGAAAAATACGGAATAAAGACTGAGTTCAGCTTCATATAATCAAAGCCTTTAAAAGAAGGAGGCCTCAAAAGCCATCTAGCTTCAAAATTTGGACACCGAAATGCCTAGGTCAAAATCTAGGTCAAATTCATAGGTTTTCCTTATTTT